TACCACGTGTCATCTCGATCCCTTACCACGTGTCCTCTCGATTCCTTACCACGTGTCATCTCGATCCCTTACCACGTGTCCTCTCGATTCCTTACCACGTGTCATCTCGATCCCTTACCACGTGTCATCTCGATCCCTTACCGGGTGTCATCTCGACCCCTTACCACGTGTCATCTCGATCCCTTACCACGTGTCATCTCGATCCCTTACCACGTGTCATCTCGTTCCCTTACCACGTGTCATCTCGATCCCTTACCACGTGTCATCTCGTTCCCTTACCACGTGTCATCTCGATCCCTTACCACGTGTCATCTCGATCCCTTACCACGTGTCATCTCGATCCCTTACCGGGTGTCATCTCGATCCCTTACCACGTGTCATCTCGATCCCTTACCACGTGTCATCTCGATCCCTTACCGGGTGTCATCTCGATCCCTTACCACGTGTCATCTCGTTCCCTTACCACGTGTCATCTCGATCCCTTACCACGTGTCCTCTCGATCCCTTACCACGTGTCATCTCGATCCCTTACCGGGTGTCATCTCGATCCCTTACCACGTGTCCTCTCGATCCCTTACCACGTGTCATCTCGATCCCTTACCGGGTGTCATCTCGATTCCTTACCACGTGTCCTCTCGATCCCTTACCACGTGTCATCTCGATCCCTTACCACGTGTCATCTCGATCGCTTACCGGGTGTCATCTCGATCCCTTACCACGTGTCCTCTCGATCCCTTACCACGTGTCCTCTTGATCCCTTACCACGTGTCATCTCGATCCCTTACCGGGTGTCATCTCGATTCCTTACCACGTGTCCTCTCGATCCCTTACCACGTGTCATCTCGATCCCTTACCGGGTGTCATCTCGATTCCTTACCACGTGTCCTCTCGATCCCTTACCACGTGTCATCTCGATCCCTTACCACGTGTCATCTCGATCGCTTACCGGGTGTCATCTCGATCCCTTACCACGTGTCCTCTCGATCCCTTACCACGTGTCCTCTTGATCCCTTACCACGTGTCATCTCGATCCCTTACCGGGTGTCCTCTTGATCCCTTACCACGTGTCCTCTCGATCCCTTACCGGGTGTCATCTCGATCCCTTACCGGGTGTCCTCTCGATCCCTTACCGGGTGTCATCTCGATCCCTTACCGGGTGTCATCTCGATCCCTTACCACGTGTCCTCTCGATCTCTTATCACGTGTCATCTCGATCCCTTACCACGTGTCATCTCGATCCCTTACCACGTGTCATCTCGATCCCTTACCACGTGTCATCTCGATCCCTTACCACATGTCATCTCGATCCCTTACCACGTGTCCTCTCGATCCCTTACCGGGTGTCATCTCGATCCCTTACCACGTGTCATCTCGATCCCTTACCACGTGTCCTCTCGATCCCTTACCACTTGTCCTCTCGATCCCTTACCACGTGTCATCTCGATCCCTTACCACGTGTCATCTCGATCCCTTACTACTCGTCATCTTGATCCCTTACCACGTGTCATCTCGATCCCTTACCACGTGTCATCTCCATCCCTTACCACGTGTCATCTCGATCCCTTACCACGTGTCATCTCGATCCCTTACCACGTGTCATCTCGATCCCTTACCATGTGTCATCTCGATCCCTTACCGGGTGTCATCTCCATCCCTTACCACGTGTCATCTCGATCCCTTGCCGGGTGTCCTCTCGATCCCTTACCACGTGTCATCTCGATCCCTTACCACGTGTCATCTCGATCCCTTACCGGGTGTCCTCTTGATCCCTTACAGGGTGTCATCTCGATTCCTTACCACGTGTCATCTCGATCCCTTACCACGTGTCATCTCGATCCCTTACCGGGTGTCATCTCGTTCCCTTACCACGTGTCATCTCGATCCATTACCACGTGTCCTCTCGATCCCTTACCACGTGTCATCTCGATTCCTTACCACGTGTCATCTCGATCCCTTACCGGGTGTCATCTCGTTCCCTTACCACGTGTCATCTCGATCCCTTACCACGTGTCATCTCGATCCCTTACCACGTGTCATCTCGATTCCTTACCACGTGTCATCTCGATCCCTTACCACGTGTCATCTCGATCCCTTACCACGTGTCCTCTCGATCCCTTACCACGTGTCATCTCGATCCCTTACCACGTGTCATCTCGATCCCTTACCACGTGTCATCTCGATCCCTTACCACGTGTCATCTCGAGCCCTTACCACGTGTCATCTCGATCCCTTACCACGTGTCATCTCGATCCCTTACCACGTGTCATCTCGATCCCTTACCCACGTGTCATCTCGATCCCTTACCACGTGTCATCTCGATCCCTTACCGGGTGTCATCTCGATCCCTTACCACGTGTCATCTCGATCCCTTACCACGTGTCATCTCGTTCCCTTACCACGTGTCATCTCGATTCCTTACCACGTGTCCTCTCGATCCCTTACCACGTGTCCTCTCGATCCCTTACCACGTGTCCTCTCGATCCCTTACCACGTGTCATCTCGATCCCTTACCACGTGTCCTCTCGATCCCTTACCACGTGTCATCTCGATCCCTTACCACGTGTCATCTCGATCCCTTACCACGTGTCATCTCGATCCCTTACCACGTGTCCTCTCGATCCCTTACCACGTGTCATCTCGATCCCTTACCGGGTGTCATCTCGATCCCTTACCACGTGTCCTCTCGATCCCTTACCGGGTGTCATCTCGATCCCTTACCGGGTGTCATCTCGATCCCTTACCACGTGGCCTCTCAATCCCTTACCACGTGTCATCTCGATCCCTTACCACGTGTCCTCTCGATCCCTTACCGGGTGTCATCTCGATCCCTTACCACGTGTCCTCTCGATCCCTTACCACGTGTCATCTCGATCCCTTACCACGTGTCATCTCGATCCCTTACCACGTGTCCTCTCGATCCCTTACCACGTGTCCTCTCGATCCCTTACCGCGTGGCCTCTCGATCCCTTACCACGTGTCCTCTCGATCCCTTACCACGTGTCATCTCGATCCCGAGGAGCAGTGGCGGCTGCTAGAACTCCGAGGCTCTCCCGGATTCCCACTCTCCTTGCCCGATGGCGCGCAAGTGATCCCGGCGACCCCCTGCGGAGTGAACCTCGCTTCTAGGACCCCTCGTGCACGCCGTCTCATCCTGTCGGTCATTAAACTCTCAAAGCGTGACATCGATTCTAATTGTGAAGGGGCGTGGGGGGGGGGACAATCGGAGGACTTCGAGAAGAATCCACGCGACCACAGGGAGAGAGAGAGAGAGAGAGACCGCTAACTCCGAATATACAACAGCAGCAGGCATTGTCAGGGTCGGGATCGAACCCACGACCTCCTGCCTATCAGGCGAGGTCGTTAACATCTCCTAGCCACCGTGATGATGAGAGAGAGAGAGACGCAAACTCCCAAAAATAAATCAGGCGTCGTCAGGGTCGGTATCGAACCCACGACCTCCTGCGTACCAGGCGAGGTAGTTAACGTCTCCTAGCCACCGTGATGATGAGAGAGAGAGAGAGAGACGCAAACTCCCAAAAATAAATCAGGCGTCGTCAGGGTCGGTATCGAACCCACGACCTCCTGCATACCAGGCGAGGTAGTTAACATCTAGCCACCGTGATGATGATGATGATGAGAGAGAGACACGCTAACTCCGAATATACAGCAGGCGTCGTCAGGGTCGGGATCGAACTCACGACCCCCTGTATACCAAGCGAGGTAGTTAACATCTCCTAGCTACCGTAATGATGATGATGATGAGAGAGAGACACACGCTAACTCCAAGTATACAGCAGCAGGCGTCGTCAGGGTCGGGATCGATCCCACGACCTCCTGTATACCAGGCGAGGTAGTTAACATCTCCTAGCCACCACGGCCCCCCAATCACTCTGCTGCCAACGACTTTGCAGGACCCTCCTGAAAACGAGCCATGAGACTCGGCGATCCCTTCACGGGTAGACTAGCGGACTAATAATACGATGCAATAGACTTTGGGCTGCTGTACATCCTGCTGCTAATGATGATGCTAATAATGATGCAGAAAATGATGATGATCAGGGTGTCGGATTTCTCGGGTCACTGTTGGACTGGAGTATTGGTGGCGCGTGACTATAGCCAAAGCCATCGCGGAGTGAATGATGGATGTTGTATGTCGGGTGTCGAAATATTGTCCGGGTCAGCGGACAAGACGACTTCAACTCAGTTTCAGTTTCATTTATTCGGTTTTCGGCCCTGATGGTTATCCTGCTGCTGCTGATGCTGCTGCTGCTGATGACGACGACGTTGTTGCTGATGATGATGTTGATGATGACGTTTCTGATTGCAATGTTGCTGCTGATGATGATGACGACAATGACGATGTTGCTCATGGCGATGTTTCTGATGATGACGATGTTGCTGATGACGACGATGATGATAATGATGACGACGATGATGTTTCTGATTACGATGTTGCTGATGACGATGTTGATGATGACGACGTTGTTGCTAATGACGTTGTTGATGATGGTGTTGTTGCTAATGACGATGTTGATGACGATAATGTTGCTGATAATGATGTTGCTGATGACGATGTTGATGATGACGATGTTGATGATGACGATGTTGATGATGATGACGTTGATGATGATGACGTTGTTGATGATGACGATGTTGATGATGACAACGATGTTGATGATGACGATGTTGCTGCTGCTGATGTTGTTGATGATGACGATGTTGCTGCTGCTGATGATGTTGTTGATGATGACGATGTTGATGATGACGATGTTGATGATGACGATGTTGCTGCTGCTGCTGATGATGATGTTGTTGATGATGACGATGTTGATGATGACGATGTTGATGATGACGATGTTGCTGCTGCTGATGATGTTGTTGATGATGACGATGTTAATGATGACGATGTTGATGACGACGACGTTGCTAATGACGATGTTGCTGATCACGATGTTGATGACGATGTTGCTGATGATGACGACATGGTGGCCGCTCCGTAGACGTACTCGGGCCTCTTCTGCGTGGTGGTGAACCCGTACAAGTTCTTGCCCATCTACTCGGAGAAGATCGTGGAGATGTACAGGGGCAGGAAGCGACACGAGATGCCACCACACATCTACGCCATCACCGACTCCGCCTACCACAGCATGCTGCAGGGTGACGCGGGCTACCCCCCCCACCACCACCATCACACTCACCCCCCACCACCACACTCACCCCCCACCACACTCACCCCCCACCACACTCACCCACCACCACCACACTCACCCCCCCACCAGATTCACCCCCCCACAACATTCACCCCCCCACCACATTCACCCCCCCACCACATTCTCCCCCCCCACCACACTCACCCCCCAACACACTCACCCCCCCACCACACTCACCCCCCCACCACCACACTCACCCCCCCACCACACTCACCCCCCACCACCACACTCACCCCCCCACACTCACCCCCCCCCCACCACACTCACCCCACCACCACACTCACCCCCCCACACTCACCCCCCCCACCACACTCACCCCCCCACCACACTCACCCCCCCACCACACTCACCCCCCCACCACACTCACCCCGCCAACACACTCACACCCCCACCACAATCACCCCCCCACCGCACTCACCCCCCCCACCACACTCACCCCTCCAACGCACTCACCCCCCACCACACTCACCCCCCCACCACACTCACCCCCCCCACACACTCACCCCCCACCACACTCACCCCCCCAACACACTCACCCCCCACCACACTCACCCCCCACCACACTCACCCCCCCAACACACTCACCCCCCACCACACTCACCCCCCCAACACACTCACCCCCCACCACACTCACCCCCCCACCACACTCACCCCCCCAACACACTCACCCCCCCACCACACTCACCCCCCCACCACACTCACCCCACCACACTCACCCCACCACACTCACCCCCCCACCACACTCACCCCACCACACTCACCCCCCCACCACACTCACCCCCCCACCACACTCACCCCCCACCACCACACTCACCCCCCACCACACTCACCCCCCCACCACACTCACCCCCCAACACACTCACCCCCCCACCACACTCACCCCCCCCACCACACTCACCCCACCACACTCACCCCACCACACTCACCCCCCCACCACACTCACCCCCCCACCACACTCACCCCCCCTCCACATTCACCCCCCCACCACACTCACCCCCCCCCCACACTCACCCCCCCACCACACTCACCGCCACCACCTATAACACAACGAGCGGGTGACGCGTGGCTCCCATCGCTGACCTTCTTGACCTGCTACACCCCCTCGTGTCACGTCCGTACAACCACGCAACGCTCTTATCCGTGAGAGAGGGGGGGGGGGTGTTTGGTTTTATTTGGGGGGGGGCGGCGGGGGAGGATGAATCACGTAAATATAAAAATGTGTCGTCAAACCCGCGACCACACAGCCACCTAATTCGGTGGAACTAACTACCATTATTAATGAGTATTATAACGACCTCCGAACGTCCTCTTCCGCCGTTTCAGTTCCAATTCAACGTGTTTCTTTGTCTGTTTGTTTGTTTTCCACAAGAGATTTGTTGTGTTATTTCTTTTTCGGTCCGGGTTTACACCGCGTGACGATGCGTCGCTAAGCCCGCCGCAATCGGTTAAGGGGTTTGTCGCCAACGCAAAAACGCGGCCGATTCGTTACCAGCTTGGCACTAACCGGTTGTGTGTTGGAGAGTCAAACCCCACTGCAACGTTTACAATTCGAGTGCCGTTACGTTTCACCGGCAATTACAATAACAACAACAACAACCACACTATATTCTTGGTTCTTTCGGTAACGTCACCACGTAGAAGGGAAACAATAAAATAATAAAAATATAAAACAATAAAATTCTCACGACGTTTCAACTGCAACACAAGCAGCAATCATCATCAGGTGTGAAAACCACAGCAAGAAAATTTGAAAAAAGTGGCGGTTTTTTAACGTTAGCACCACGGATAGCGATTTGACAGTTAGTCTCCCCCCCTCCTCTTTTCCGAACATAGATGGACTCGTCCATCTGAACAAAATGTCAAATCGCTCTCCGTGGTGCTAACGTTAAATAACCGCCACTTTTTTCAAAAAATTTCTTGCTGTGGTTTTCACACCTGATGATGATTGCTGCTTGTGTTGCAGTCGAAACGTCGTGAGAATTGTATTGTTTTATATTTTTATTATTGTATTGTTTCCCTTCTACGTGACTTTACCGAAAGAACCAAGAATATGAATCCGTGCAGTCACGAAAGCTTTAAATCAAAACAACCACACTCTATGGTTCTTTCGGTAAAGTCACGTAGGTAGAAGAAATAATAATAATAATAGATCACTAAGTTTCGATCTCAACACAAGCGGTCGTCCTCAGGTGGAAAAAAATGTAACATTTTATTTCTGTAACATTTTATTTCTACCTACGTGACTTTACCGAAAGAACCAAAGAGTACGAATTCCTGCAGCTTCAAATCAAGAATTAACCACCAGCAGCATGAGGCGACAGCCGCAGAGTTGTGGAGAAATCCTCCTGCTGTTTCGGTCTTAAATAGACACGGGGGAGGGGGGGGGGGCGCGGGGATATATGCGACGTCGTCACAATGTCAGCCAATCAGGTGCGAAGGTCAGAAGCGTGGTAGAGGTGGCAGCCAATCCCCTCCCTCTCCTCCTGTCATCAACCACTCACATTTTTTTGGTTCTACATATGCTCCGCCCACTGCCCAGGTAGCTCCTCTCCCACTGCTCGAGTAGCCCCGCCCACTGGTCAAGTAGCTCCGCCCACTGTTCAAATGCTGCTGGTCCCGTAGTTTCAAGGGCCCCGCGCTAAACGATTTCAAGCTATCAACTCCCGGTGCAGTGATTCTGCAACTTGCTCTATTGCTATAGTACTATACCACCCTTCAGCTTTTACGCACGACCGGGGTGTTTAAGGTTAGGCGATTTGTCGTATTATCTGGATGTGTAGCAAATGAAAAAAATACAATTACTTTACTATGTAACTAAAAATTCGCGTGTTTTAATATTTACATTTTTTTTATTAATTAGAGCGCCTTTATAACATAATGTGCTACAGGTCCTGCACTAGCTTCATCCGGCACTGCTCGGAGTAAAAAAGTAATTACGGCGATTCGTGACGGCCGCATTCGCGAGGGTTTCTGGTCGATTTTGCAAGGAATATTTTTTTTTTAAATGTGTTCAAACAACAAAAATTAAAAACGATGAGAAGAATAAAAAAAAAACAGAACACACAACGGTAAATAAAATCAAATAAAAATCACGCGGTGGAGTTCGCGCTGCGGATCCACGCGGTGCTGTGGTGGGGCGATGGTGGTGATGATTGTGGTGGTGGTGGTGGTGGTGATACTGGTGGTGGTGGTGATGATGGTGGAACTGGTGATGGTGGTATTTGTGATGATGATGATGTTGTTGGTGGTGATGATGATGGTGGTAGTGGTGATGATGATGGTAATGATGGTGGTGGTGATTATGATGGTGGTGGTGGTGGTGTAAATGATGGTGATGATGCTTTTGGTGGTGGTGATGGTTGTGGTGGTGGTGGTGGTGATGATGTTAGTAGGGGGCACAGGTGGCGCATCAGCCAGTGTTCTCAGTCAGTCGACCCGTGGCACCTGCTGGGTCTGCCCCGTGACCTCCTGCCAGTGGGCGTTCGACACTTCACGTGGCCTCAAGGTGCACGTAGCCTGGCACAGGCGTCGTGGTGACGTCACCGCCACTTAGTGGCGAATGGCGGTTGTTGATGATGTTAGTGACGGTGGTCCTGGTGGCCATGATGATGGTGGTGATGATGGTGGTGATGTTGATGGTCATGATGATGATGGTGGTGGTGGTGGTGATGATGGTGGTGATGATGATGATGGTGGTGGTTATGGTGATGATGGTGGTGGTTATGGTGATGATGGTGGTGGTGATGATGATGATGGTGGTTATGGTGATGATGGTGGTGATGATGATGATGATGGTGGTTATGGTGATGATGATGATGGTGGTGGTGGTGATGATGATGGTGGTAGTGATGATGATAATGGTGGTGATGATGGTGGTGATGTTGATGGTCATGATGATGATGGTGGTGGTGATGATGATGATGGTGGTGGTGATGGTGATGATGATGGTGGTGGTTATGGTGATGATGATGGTGATGATGATGGTGGTGGTTATGGTGATGATGATGGTGATGATGATGGTGGTGGTGATGATGATGATGGTGGTGGTGATGGTGATGATGATGGTGGTGGTTATGGTGATGATGATGGTGATTATGATGGTGGTGGTTATGGTGATGATGATGGTGATGATGATGGTGGTGGTGATGATGATGATGGTGGTTATGGTGGTGTTGCTATCGGTGGGTAGAGGAGTCGCAGTCATCTTGACGCTCGATCATTTTCATCCCCACAGCCATCCTTATTATGAGACTTGGTGAGGCTCTGGGTAAATAGGTGTAATTGTTATCAAGTTCTAATTACAGCAATTTACTAACGTCTCGCTTGTGTTTTTGTTTGTGTTGTAGATCGTGAAGATCAGTCCATTCTTTGCACGTGAGTAGTATGCACAAAGACAAAGATCCCCCTGTGTAGCCTGTAACAGACTGTTGGGGCAAGTGCTGTTAGCGAGTAGCACCTATGAAGGCCGGCACGGCACACCAGGGGGTGGGTGACCAGCATCACGCACGGCCGCCTTTGTCTTCCCGAGTGGCGATGTTTACACACCGCACCAGATACTCATTTGAGGCTGAGTCGACCTAGGGGAGGTCCAGGACCGGTACAGATAATCGCTATGCTGGTCTTGGCCGTGAGCGGAAATCGAACTCCGGTCGCCAGGTTCGTAGCGCAGTTTGCTAACCGAATACCTGTCAACCCCTTATCAGTGCCCTACCTTATTACAGACCAATTCAGACCTGATTAATCAACCCGTGCCCCTTATACATTTCAACGTTCATCCTACAAAGTCACATCACAAGAAGGGAAACAATAATGAAATAGACAGCAAATGTGTTATTGTTTGTGCCCGTATTGAAACGTCTGTACGCGTTATGGACCTGCAAACTCAATTTCCCTATGCAAGAATAGGGGTAAACCGTATGGGTTGACACGGTATGGTATAGTAGTGTATAGTGTAGTGTATAGTAGTATAGTGTATAGTAGTGTAGTGTATAGTGTAGTGTATAGTCTAGTGTAGTGTATAGTGTAGTATATAGTAGTGTAGTGTACAGTGTAGTGTACAATAATACGGGGTAAACTGTATGGGTTGACACGGTATGGTATAGTCGTGGAGTGTAGTGTTTAGTAGTGTAGTGTTTAGTAGTGTAGAGTGAGGGAAAAAAGTATTTGATCCCCTGCTGATTTTGTACGTTTGCCTACTGACAAAGAAATGATCAGTCTATAATTTACTGGTAGGTTTATTTGAACAGTGAGAGACAGAATAACAACAACAAAAATCCAGAAAAACGCATGTCAAAAATTTTATAAATTGATTTGCATTTTAATGAGGGAAATAAGCATTTGACTCCTCTGCAAAACATGACTTAGTACTTGGTGGCAAAACCCTTGTTGGCAATCACAGAGATCAGACGTTTCTTGTAGTTGGCCACCAGGTTTGCACACATCTCAGGAGGGATTTTGTCCCACTCTTTGCAGATCTTCTCCAAGTCATTAAGGTTTCGAGGCTGACGTTTGGCAACTCGAACCTTCAGCTCCCTACACAGATTTTCTATGGGATTAAGGTCTGGAGACTGGCTAGGCCACTCCAGGACCTTAATGTGCTTCTTCATGAGCCACTCCTTTGTTGGCTTGGCCGTGTGTTTTGGGCCATTGTCATGCTGGAATACCCATCCACGACCCATTTTCAATGCCCTGGCTGAGGGAAGGAGGTTCTCACCCAAGATTTGACGGTACATGGCCCCGTCCATCGTCCCTTTGATGTGGTGAAGTTGTCCTGTCCCCTTAGCAGAAAAACACCCCCAAAGCATAATGTTTCCACCTCCATGTTTGACGGTGGGGATGGTGTTCTTGGGGTCATAGGCAGCATTCCTCCTCTTCCAAACACGGCGAGTTGAGTTGATGCCAAAGAGCTCCATTTTGGTCACATCTGACCACAACACTTTCACCCAGTTGTCCTCTGAATCATTCAGATGTTCATGGGCAAACTTCAGACGGGCATGTATGTGTGCTTTCTTGAGCAGGGGGACCTTGCGGGCGCTGCAGGATTTCAGTCCTTCACGGCATAGTGTGTTACCAATTGTTTTCTTGGTGACTAGGGTCCCAGCTGCCTTGCGATCATTGACAATATCCTCCCGTGTAGTTCTGGGCTGATTCTTCACCGTTCTCATGATCATTGCAACTCCACGAGGTGAGATCTTGCATGGAGCCCCAGGCCGAGGGAGATTGACAGTTCTTTTGTGTTTCTTCCATTTGCGAATAATCGCACCAACTGTTGTCACCTTCTCACCAAGCTGCTTGGCAACGGTCTTGTAGCCCATTCCAGCCTTGTGTAGGTCTACAATCTTGTCCCTGACATCCTTGGAGAGCTCTTTGGTCTTGGCCATGGTGGAGAGTTTGGAATCTGATTGATTGATTGCTTCTGTGGACAGGTGTCTTTATACAGGTAACAAGCTGAGATTAGCAGCATTCACTTTAAGAGTGTGCTCCTAATCTCAGCTCGTTACCTGTATAAAAGACACCTGGGAGCCAGAAATCTTTCTGATCGAGAGGGGGTCAAATACTTATTTCCCTCATTAAAATGCAAATCAATTGATAACATTTTTGACATGCGTTTTTCTGGATTTTTTTTGTTGTTATTCTGTCTTTCACTGTTCAAATAAACCTACCATTAAAATTATAGACTGATCATTTCTTTGTCAGTGGGCAAACGTACAAAATCTGCTGGGGATCAAATACTTTTGCCCTCACTGTATAGTAGTGTAGTAAGTGTATTGTGTAGTGTATAGTAGTGTATTGTGTAGTGTATTGTGCAGTGTATAGTACTGTAGTGTTACGTAGTGTAGTGTGTACCGTAGTGTACAAGAATACAGAGTAAACCCTATGGATTGACACAGTACCCGCCCACCCACCCCCTCCCCCCCGGGCCACACACACACTCTCTCCGACAAGTACACGCAACACTCATATTAAGCCGCGAGCACGCGCGACACGCGTGTTGACCGGTACAAGGCTCTTAGCGCCACGAGCATTCGGGTTCGTCTTTGGGTCGGACTCTGAGAGCGATGGCATCGACATCCGGCCTGCCGAGTGGGGGGGGGGGCGGGGGAGATGGTCGAGAGAGAGAGAGAGAGTGTCGGCATCTCCGGCAAATTCCTAATGTGGTGGGCGTCTTTTGTAAACCGTGACTCGTCAGTGTTATGTTCGTGCCCCTACTCGGGATGAGTCGCTGGAGGTGGTGGGGTTATGGAGGGGTCAAGGGATTTGCCACGTGGTGTTTAACGCAAACCAGGCTGCCCGCGTAGGCCCACTGCACCCCCACCAACGTGGCTATCGTCTCCATCGTCCTCATCTCCCGGGCAAAGCGAATGTCTCTCTACCCTCTCTATCTCTCTTTCTCCCCACGTGAGCCACGTGCCTTACTCACAGACGTTGGCGACGGCGGTCTTCCTTTCATTCAGCTCTGCCCTTGATGTTCACTCGACAACCTCTTAGCCCCCGATGGGCAATGTTGGTCCATGGGCAATGTTAGTAATGGCAGTCTATGGGCAATGTTAGTCCATGGGCAATGCTAGTAATGGCAGTCTATGGGCAATGTTAGTCCATGGGCAATGTTAGTAATGGCAGTCTATGGGCAATGTTAGTCCATGGGCAATGTTAGTAATGGCAGTCTATGGGCAATGTTAGTCCATGGGCAATGTTAGTAATGGCAGTCTATGGGCAATGTTGGTCCATGGGCAATGTTAGTAATGGGAGTCTATGGGCAATGTTAGTCCATGGGCAATGTTTGTAATGTCAGTCTATGGGCAATGTTAGTCCATGGGCAATGTTAGTAATGGCAGTCTATGGGCAATGTTAGTCCATGGGCAATGTTAGTAATGGCAGTCTATGGGCAATGTTAGTCCATGGGCAATGTGAGTCTATGGGTAATGTTAGTCTATGGGCAATGTTAGTCTATGGGTAATGTTAGTCTATGGGCAATGTTAGTCCATGGGCAATGTTAGTAATGGCAGTATATGGGTAATGTTAGTCCATGGGCAATGTTAGTAATGGCAGTCTATGGGCAATGCTAGTCCATGGGCAATGTTAGTAATGGCAATGTTAGTCCGTGGGCAATGTTAGTAATGGCAGTCTATGGGCAATGTTAGTCCACGGGCAATGTTAGTAATGGCAGTCTATGGGCAATGTTAGTCTACGTCTCACTATGTGCCGTATCCTTTCTCAAGAACTCTCTGCATTCGATTATCCTCCCAGTCGCGCCCAATTCCTTCCGGTTGCTCGTCGAATTTCAATTCGCCGCCTTCCTCCAGTGTCTTGCGGGACCCCCTTCGTCGCCAGTGTAAACATTATGTTCGGTCCCTTGTTCTGCTCCATCACAACCTATCTCTCTCTCTCTCGCTGATTACTCTTCGTTGACAATCTCGTTGTGTCCCTCCTGCGTGGCGCGTGCGGGCGCCTGTCGCTGGAATCTCAGTGGTGAGTCCGGCGCTGGGAAAACCGAGAACACCAAGAAGGTCATCCAGTTCCTGGCCCACGTCACCTCGTCCCACAAGAGCAAGAAGGACAACACCATCACGGCAAGTGGTGCTCGTTACCTGGCAAACGAGGCCTGGTTTACAAGGAAACGAGGCCCGGTTTCCAAGGAAACGAGGCCTGGTTTCCTAGTAAACGAGGCCTGGTTTCCAAGGAAACGAGGCCTGGTTTCCAAGGCAACGATGCCCGGTTTCCTAGTAAACGATGTCTGGTTTCCAAGGAAATGAGGCCTGGTTTCCAAGGAAACGAGGCCTGGTTTCCTCTAGGATACCACATAAAGCCTATAGCTTGCCTGTTCCCCTTGGAAACAAGGCCTCAGTTCCCTCCAAGATACCACGTACGCCTAGAGCTTGAATCATTGCCTTTGAAACAAGGCCTGAGTTTCCTCTAGAGTACCACACTAGCTAACCGCTTGCCTGGTTACCATGGAAACAGGGTCTGAGTTCCCTCTAGAGTACCACATTAGCTAACCGCTTGCCTGGTTACCATGGAAACAGGGCCTGAGTTTCCTCTAGAGTACCACATTAGCTAACCGCTTGCCTGGTTACCATGGAAACAGGGCCTGAGTTCCCTCTAGAGTACCACATTAGCTAACCGCTTGCCTGGTTACCTTGGAAACAGGGCCTGAGTTTCCTCTAGAGTACCACACTAGCTAACCGCTTGCCTGGTTACCATGGAAACAGAGCCTGAGTTCGCTCTAGAGTACCACATTAGCTAACCGCTTGCCTGGTTACCATGGAAACAGAGCCTGAGTTTCCTCTAGGCGCAGGGGTGTGGAACGTCCGACCTGTGGGCCGTATGAGGCCCCGCGAAATAATTTGTTCTGGCCTTGCCAAGGCAACCGCACGACTCGAAATTCAATAAATCTAGGCGCTTTTTTCAGAGCAACATAAAATTTGATTTTGCATGGCCCGCGAATGATGTTATAAATATCCAAATGGCCTTTGGCAGTAAAAAAAAAAGGTTCGCCACCCCTGCTCTGGGGTATCACATGAGCCTAGTTCTTGCCGGTTTCCCTTGGAAACAAGGCCCCGTGATCGTGTACACGAAGTGGAAGAAATAAGATGCTGGGAAATTCGAAAGTTTTCTTCTCTGCACATTGTTGTTTTTTTCCGTATTCAAGACATTTTGACGAGCAAACCAGTAGCATGAGTTTACTGTGTGTTTGTTTGAAGCCGCGTGAACTAGCCCTGAGCCTAACCCTGACCCTACCACCTCATCGAGTTATAATCCTGCCTCACTATCGAGTGACCTGATTAACCTTGTAAAATGTCTGCCTGTTCCGTCCCCATGTCTCTCTGTTTCATTTCCTGCTGTATCCCCGTGTCTCTTTCCTATGTCTCTGTCTCGTCCCCATGTCTCCCGGTCCATCTCTGTGTCTCTCTGCTCGGTCTCTCTGCACCGTCTCCGTGTCTCTCTACTCTATCCCTGTGCCCTATACTCTTGCCCTCGTGTCTCTCTGCTCTGTCGCCCGTGTCTCTCTACTCCGTTCCCTCTGTCTCTCTACTCCGTTCCCCGTGTCTCTCTACTCCGTCCCCCGTGTCTCTCTACTCTGTCCCCCGTGTCTCTCTACTCCGACCCCGTGTCTCTCTACTCCGTCCCCCGTGTCTCTCTACTCCGTCCCCCGTGTCTCTCTACTCCGTCCCCCGTGTCTCTCTACTCCGTCCCCCGTGTCTCTCTACTCCGTCCCCCGTGTCTCTCTACTCCGCCCCCCGTGTCTCTCTACTCCGTCCCCCGTGTCTCTCTACTCCGTCCCCCGTGTCTCTCTACTCCGTCCCCCGTGTCTCTCTACTCCGTCCCCCGTGTCTCTCTACTCCGTCCCCCGTGTCTCTCTCTACTCCGTCCCCCGTGTCTCTCTCTACTCCGTCCCCCGTGTCTCTCTCTACTCCGTCCCCCGTGTCTCTCTCTACTCCGTCCCCCGTGTCTCTCTACTCCGTCCCCCGTGTCTCTCTACTCCGTCCCCCGTGTCTCTCTACTCCGTCCCCCGTGTCTCTCTACTCCGTCCCCCGTGTCTCTCTCTACTCCGTCCCCCGTGTCTCTCTCTACTCCGTCCCCCGTGTCTCTCTCTACTCCGTCCCCCGTGTCTCTCTCTACTCCGTCCCCCGTGTCTCTCTCTACTCCGTCCCCCGTGTCTCTCTCTACTCCGTCCCCCGTGTCTCTCTCTACTCCGTCCCCCGTGTCTCTCTCTACTCCGTCCCCCGTGTCTCTCTCTACTCCGTCCCCCGTGTCTCTCTCTACTCCGTCCCCCGTGTCTCCCGGGCCGCAGGGTGAGCTGGAGAAGCAGCTGCTGCAGGCGAACCCGATCCTGGAGGCGTTCGGCAATGCCAAGACGGTGAAGAACGACAACTCCTCCCGCTTCGTGAGTACGGGAGCGGGCGGGCGGGGGGACAGACACGGGACCAGACACGGGACAGACACGGGACACAGTATAGGAGGTCGCGCGCGTTGGGGAAACAGGACACGTGCGACACGGACAGCGGACGCAGATACACGGAACAAACACGCGGGGCATTCGGGACCGGCGCGGGACACTGGATAGGAGACGCACGGAATGAATCAAATGAGTCGTACGAACGAGACGCACAGAACCAACACGCGGCGGGACACCCGGGGACAAACGCAGGACACTGGATAGCAGACGCGCGGGATTAATGAACGGGACACACGGGACGCAGACTGGAGACGCGGATGCGTAGGTATGTTGAATTTCTTTCGCGCCGTGCGTAGCCAACCGCGCTAATCGGAGGTGCAGGGGGTAAGGACAATCTAGATGATGATTTTAAAGGTGCACAGCTCTCCAGTGGCGTCCTGATATCGGAAAGGGAGAGCGTTCCAGACGGCCGCAGAAGCGCATGTGAAAGCGCGTGATGCGGAGACCACCATCTCTGTTCCATAGCGAGCCGCAAACCGCTTTGAGGATGACCGGAGTTTATTTAGTGGGGTTAGGGCTGTTGTCCTTGAATGTATGCGTGCGTATGCATGTATGCATGTTGAACTTCTTTCACACTGTGCACAGCCAGCCCGTGCTAATCGTAGGCGCGGTATGTTGTGAGGAGTGGTGGTACACCGGTTAGCGCACTAGTGCTACGAATCCGACGACCCAGGTTTGATTCCCGCTCACGGCCAACATCAGCATCACACACCTGAATTGGTCCGGCGCTTCTGCTCGGTCGACCCAGCCTCAAATGAGTACATAGTGCGATGTGTACAAATATCGCCACTCGGGAGACAAAGGCGGCCGGGCGTGGTGCTGGCCACCCACCCCCTCGTGTGCCGTGCCGGCCTTCGTAGGTGCTGTTACTCGCTAACAGCACTTGCCCCAACAGTCTGTTACAGGCTACACGGGGGGATCTTGCCTTTGATATTCTAGTGTATGTGTGTGTCTGTGGGTGTATGTGAGTCTGTGCGTGTGTGTGTATGTGAGTCTGTGTGTGTGTGTGTATGTGAGTCTGTGTGTGTGTATGTGAGTCTGTGTGTGTGTATGTGAGTCTGTGTGTGTGTGTGCGTGTGTATGTGAGTCTGTGTGTGTATGAGAGTCTGTGTGTGTGTGCGTGTGTATGTGAGTCTGTGTGTGTGTATGTGAGTCTGTGTGTGTGTGCGTGTGTATGTGGGTGTGTGTGTGTATGTGAGTTTGTGTGTGTGTATGTGAGTCTGTGTGTGTGTGCGTGTGTATGTGAGTGTGTGTGTGTATGTGAGTCTGCGTGTGTATGTGAGTCTGTGTGTGTGTGTGTATGTGAGTCTGTGTGTGTGTGTATGTGAGTCTGTGTGTGTGTATGTGAGTCTGTGTGTGTGTATGTGAGTCTGTGTGTGTGTATGTGTGTGTGTGTATGTGAGTCTCTGTGTGTGTGTGTATGTGAGTCTGTGTGTGTGTGTATGTGTGTGTGTGTATGTGAGTCTGTGTGTGTGTATGTGTGTGTGTATGTGAGTCTGTGTGTGTGTATGTGAGTCTGTGTGTGCGAAAGTGTAGCGGTTAGCGCGCTGCGCTATGAACCTGGCGACCCGGGTTCGATTCCCGCTCACGGCCAACACCAGTGACGATTATCTGAACCGGTCCCAAGCCTCCCCTAGGTCGACTCAGCCTCAAATGAGTACCTGGTGCGGTGTGTAAACATTGCCACTAGGGAGACAAAGGCGGTCGGGCGTGGTGCTGGCCACCCACCCCCTCGTGTACCGTTCCGGCCTTCATAGGTGCTCGCTAACAGCACTTGCCCCTACAGTCTGTTAAGGCTATATGGGGGATCTTTGTTTTATCTTTGTGTGTGTGTGTGTATGTGAGTCTGTGTGTGTGTGTATGTTAGTCTGTGTGTGTGTATGTGAGTCTGTGTGTATGTGAGTGTGTGTGTGCATGTGAGTCTGTGTGTGTGCGTGCTGCAGCAAGCTGTCCTTGGGGCTTCCTCTGTGAGCCTTATATGGCACGGGCTCATGAGGAATGCTGCATCGAGATGTTAACAACTTGTTTGTGAGGTGGTGGTGGTGGTGGCGGTGGTGGTTGGGGGTCGAAAAATGGGTTGTTCCTGACAAAATAAGCACTCGCAGCTACACGCCGATAAACTGATTACAGGCGAGCACACGGGAAGCGGAGCGCATGCCCAAAGCTTAGCAGTGTCATTAATCGGGCCCACGGTTACACATCTGAGACGACGGCAGTGCTGCCACCAGCGCACAGCCCGGCTCAGACATCTCCCCCTGCCACTGACCCCAGCCGTGGCAGTGGTACAGCTCAGACATCTCCCCCTGCCACTGACCCCAGCCGTGGCAGGGGACAGCTCAGATATCTCCCCCGCCATTGATGTCAACCGTGGCAGGGGACAGCTCAGATATCTCCCCCTGCCACTGAAGTCAACCGTGGCAGGGGACAGCTCAGATATCTCCCCCTGCCACTGACGCCAGCCGTGGCAGGGGTACAGCTCAGATATCTCCCCCTGCCACTGACGCCAGCCGTGGCAGGGGACAGCTCAGATATCTCCCCCTGCCACTGACGCCAGCCGTGGCAGGGGACAGCTCAGATATCTCCCCCTGCCACTGACGCCAGCCGTGGCAGGGGACAGCTCAGATATCTCCCCCGCCATTGATGTCAACCGTGGCAGGGGACAGCTCAGATATCTCCCCCTGCCACTGACCCCAGCCGTGGCAGGGGACAGCTCAGATATCTCCCCCTGCCACTGACGCCAGCCGTGGCAGGGGACAGCTCAGATATCTCCCCCTGCCACTGACGCCAGCCGTGGCAGGGGACAGCTAAGATATCTCCCCCTGCCACTGACCCCAGCCGTGGCAGGGGACAGCTCAGATATCTCCCCCTGCCACTGACGCCAGCCGTGGCAGGGGACAGCTAACATATCTCCCCCTGCCACTGACGCCAGCCGTGGCAGGGGACAGCTCAGATATCTCTCCCTGCCACTGACGCCAGCCGTGGCAGGGGACAGCTCAGATATCTCCCCCTGCCACTGACGCCAGCCGTGGCAGGGGTACAGCTCAGACATCTCCCCCTGCCACTGACGCCAGCCGTGGCAGGGGACAGCTCAGATATCTCCCCCTGCCACTGACGTCAGCCGTGGCAGGGGACAGCTCAGATATCTCCCCCTGTCACTGACCCCAGCCGTGGCAGGGGACAGCTCTGATATCTCCCCCTGCCACTGACCCCAGCCGTGGCAGGGGACAGCTCAGATATCTCCCCCTGCCACTGACCCCAGCCGTGGCAGGGGTACAGCTCAGATATCTCCCCCGCCACTGACGCCCGCGTCGTCTGCTTAGAGCCAGGTTGAGATCTCCAGGTCTGCCCGTCGGGTTCCAACCGCACACCTCGGCGACAACCTCTACCGACGCGGGGCGGCGATTTGAACTCCGCGATGGGCCGGAGATGAAGGGAAACGGTTTAGGAAAAAAAATTCGATTTAAAGCTTTCGTGACTGCAGGGATTCATATTCTTGGTTCTTTCGGTTAAAGTCACCACCACGTAGAAGTGAAACAATAAAATAATAAAAATATAAACCAATTAAATTCTCACGACGTTTCGACTGCAACACAAGCAGCAGCAATCATCATCATCAGGTGTGGAAAACCACAACAAAGAAAAATTGACGAATTAATTATCTTATTGTTTCCCTTCTACGTGGTTTCGGAAAAGTAGTTTCCGAACGTCGACGCGACGTTCGGAAACTTTTCTTACAATCGACGGACTCCAAACGGCGTCCCTGGCTTCATGCGGGTGCCGTTCATGCGTGCGTACGACTGTGCATGCGTGCGTACAACCGTTCATGCGTGCGTACAACCGTGCATGCGTGCGCGATTTCCTTTAATTTACCTCCCCCCCCAACCCCTCCCTCCTTCCTCGGCAGCAGCTAAACACGTTTCTCCATCCCGTTAATGATAATAATAATTATAACAAAAATAAAGAAACACGTAAAAGAATGTTGTTGGTGTTGTTGTTGTGTGTGCAGGAGGAGGGTGGGGGGGGGTTAAATGTTGAATATTCTCACTCACGTGCCCTCCTACCCCTCCATCACCCACCCCAACCCACACCACCACCCCCCACCAGGGCAAGTTCATCAAGATCAACTTTGACGTGACGGGCTACATCGTGGGTGCAAACATCGAGACCTGTATCCTTCAAAAGCCAGAAGGCGCTCAAGCCTCGTTTCAATCGCCGCGGCAGAATGCCATTTGTATTCATTTACATTATTTTCATTTAATTTCAGCATTTTTAATTTTTGTTGTTGATTTTTTTGTTTGTTTTCTATTTACGCGACTTAGTCGTCCTCGCGGAGAAATCCGATGAGCTGTGAAGCTCCTTTTCGCCGATGTCCGCTATGTATGTGCGCGTGGTGGTGGGGTGCTTTTTAAATTTTTGTTAGAAAATAATTGGGTGACATTGTGAACAACAGCCATATCGGACGCGAGTACATCTAATCGGCACGATCATTGGTTGACTGCTGATCAAAGACTCAGTCCCTACAAGGCACGTGGTGAAGCTATGAGATGCCCCGTGCGTGTGTGTGTCTGTGTGTGTGTGTCTGTGTGTGTGTGTCTGTGTGTGTGTGTCTGTGTGTGTGTGTCTGCGTGTGCTGTGTGTGTGGGGAGCGATAGTGTAGCGGTTAGCGCTACGCTGTGCTACGAATCTGACGACCCGGGTTCGATTCCCGCTCACGGCCAACAGCAGTGACGAATATTTTAGCCGGTTCTGGGCCTCCCCTAGGTCGACTCAGCCTCAAATGAGTACCTGGTGCGGTGTGTAAACATTGCCACTAGGGAGACAAAGGCGGTCGGACGTGGTGCTGGTCACCCATCCCCTCGTGTACCGTTCCGGCCTTCACAGGTGCTCGCTAACAGCACTTGCTCCTACAGTCTGTTAAGGCTATACGGGGGATCTTTGTGTGTGTGTGCTACTGTAGGCAGAAGACCAGAATCGGTGATCTCGCTGACAATGTGTTCACCATGATAGGGGGTAGGGGTGGGGGGGTTTGGGAAGGGGGGTTTAGATCCAAAATGTCGCCCCCAATATATTGCTATGAAATTGATTTCTGTTTATATGATTGTGGTTATGGTTGTACTTTATAAATCCCTAATCTCTGCCATTATATACAATGAAATAAGAAAAGGTAAAAAAAAAATTAAAACAGAGCAATGTAATACAATAGACGATTAGACATTATTCTAAAAAAAAAAGTCTATCCTATGATGAATCAGAGTGGGCGAGCTCGTAAAGTTACAACAATTTAAAAAAAGTTTTATTTAAAAAAAAATTAAAACAAGCTTTCATGAAATGTACATAGCAGCCATCCAGCAGTAGATCGATCGTCACGTCGTAAACATCAATGTGCTGTAGTAACGGCAGAACTCCACGACTTCGGGAAGTGGCCCCGAGGCTTGTCACAGCCTTGGGGGGGGGGCCGTGGGCGATTTACAGCCAACGTGAGTTGAGCGTGGACAATTAGACCCAAGCCGAAACATCTAACATTTTAAAAAATGTTTAGAATTTTTTTTGTTAAGATTAAATATAGTATTGTCATCAGGATGACACAACGTATACCGAGTTTGCAGTCGATAGCACATTGGGAAGTGGGTTAAAATTGAGTTACAAGATTTGAGGAAACAACAACAACAACAAACAACAAATGACAACAACAACAACAACGGCGGAAGCAACTCCTTGACGGCGTCCTCAGACCTCCTGGAGAAATCTCGCGCGGTGCGTCAAGCGAGAGACGAGCGCAGCTTCCACATCTTCTACTACCTCGTCGCAGGCGCCAGCGATAAGCAGAAGGGTAAGGAGGAGGAGTCGGGGGAGGGGGGGTGGTCACCGTCAATTTAAACACGTTCTCCTGCGGAAGGTGCTGGTAGTTGGAACGTTGGGTTTGCTCGGTCAATGGCCAGGGTCAACAACGGCGGCACCACCACGTGGTGTGTTCCGCACAATGTGCCAGACTGTGAGGCGCGGGCACAAGCCGGCGTGAGTAGGTTAAACGTTGAGTTTTATAAGGGCACCACGGGGTGACCAGCCCCTCCCCACCCAGCCCCACTCCTCCCACCCCCCACCCAGCCCCACCCTCCCCACCCAGCCCCTCCCCACCCTCCCCTCTCCACCCAGCCCCACCTCTCCCATTTTTTGTATACACGACGGACGGACGGACACAATAATCCCCTGTGGGCTGGTGGTGTAGTAACCAGGAGATTACTACCAGTAACACAGAGTAGTAGCAGTAGTCATAGACTTTTGCGACCAATATTATCCATAATAGAGGTTTTTTTTTTTGTGGGGGGGGGGGGGGGGGGGTTTAAATTGCGTGGGTATATAAATGTGTCGTGAAACCCGCCACCACCCGACGCAGGCAACTTGTAAGGGCTGTGTTCACGTAAACAGAACACGTGGCCAATTCGTTACTTCGCACCGCACAGACGGGTTGTGTGATGGAGACTAAACCCACTGCAAGACATTATCAGTTTAACACGTGGTAGGCTTTTGCGAACCAATATCGTCCATAATAGAGGGGTTTTTTTCGGGGTTAGATCGTGTAAATGTATAAATGTTGTGTTGTTAAAACCCGCCACCAGCCGACACAGCCAACTAGTAAGGGTTGTCACGTAAACAGAACGTGGTCAATTCGTCACTTTTACAGCACTGGTGTATAGTGTAGTGTATAGTGTAGTGTATAGTGTAGTGTATAGTGTAGTGTAAAATAGTGTAGTGTATAGTGTAGTGTATCGTGTAGTGTATAGTAGTGTATAGTGTAGTGTATAGTGTAGTGTAAAATAGTGTTGTGTATAGTGTAGTGTATCGTGTAGTGTATAGTGTAGTGTATAGTAGTGTATAGTGTATTGTATAGTGTAGTGTATAGTAGTGTATAGGGTATTGTATAGTTTAGTGTATAGTAGTGTATAGTGTATTGTATAGTGTATTGTATAGTGTAGTGTATAGTGTAGTGTATAGTGTAGTGTATAGTAGTGTATATTGTAGTGTATAGTGTATTGTATAGTGTAGTGTATAGTAGTGTATATTGTAGTGTATAGTGTAGTATACTCGTACAGCACACCGGTGTGTTGGAAAGCCAAGCCACAACATTTACAATCCAAATCTGGCTGTCGCCTGATTAACCTAGTTGTAATTATTGGCGGCGTGTGTGTGCGTGTTGTGTTTGCCTGTGTGTGTGTGCGTGTGTGCATGCGTGTGCGTGTATCTCTGTGTATGCGTGCGCACGTATGTGTGTGGGTGCGTCCGTGTGTGTCTGTCTGTCTGTGTGTGCGCGCGTGTGCGTGTGTCTGTGTGTGTGTGTGGGTGCGTCCGTGTGTGTCTGTGTGTGTCTGTGTCTCTGTGTGTGTGTGGGTGCGTCCGTGTGTGTCTGTGTGTGTCTCTGTGTGTGTGGGTGTCTGCGTGCGTGCGAGCAGAGGAGTTCTTGCTGGAGGAGTTCACCAAGTATCACTTCATGTCTTTCGGCTACGTGCCCGTGCCTGGCCAGTCGGACCAGGAGATGCTCATTGAGACCGTCGATGCCATGGCGATCATGGGCATCAGCCAGGAGGAGCTCAGCTGTGGGTCCATCGCATCGGGCACCATGCACCTTTACTCAAACTTAACTTAAACTTTGTTTTTTTTTTACTTGAAACTTTCGTGACCGCAGGAATTCACATTCTTGATTCTTTTGGTAAAGTGACGTAGATAGAAAATAATACAAATACCGCTTGTGTTGCGATCGAAACTTCGTGGGGTTTTTTTGCTATTATGATTTTATCAATTTAAATTTTACTTCGTGATTTTATCATTTTTTATTTTGTTTCATTTTTTTATTTTCTATCGACGTGACTTCACCGAAAGAACCAATAATATCAATTTAAACACCTTTAACAAAAAAATGCTTGGTATTATTTTTACCACGTTAAGGCACCCACACTGAGCTCGCTGTGTTATATATGCGCAGAAGAGAACCCGGCTTACCGTCGTTGTGGAAATTTTAGCGGCAGCCAAATAACCGGGAACGCGTGGCGATGTCGATTATAAATGTGGAAGGGGGAGGGAGGGGGGGAATAAACGGGAGGACCCGGAGAAAAATTCGCTCAACCACGGGGAAACTCCAAATATTCCGGCGTCAGGCTCGGGATCGAGCCGACGACCTCCTGTATACCGGGCGAGGTAGTTAACATCTCCTAGCCACCGTGATGATGATGATGATGAGAGAGAGACACGCAAACTCCAAATATACAGCAGCAGGCGTCAGGGTCGGGATCGAACCCACGACCTCGTGTATACCTGGCGAGGTAGTTAACATCTCCTAGCCACCGTGATGATGATGATGAGACAGAGACACGCAAACTCCAAATATTCCGGCTTTGGGGTCGAGATCGAACCCACGACCTCCTGTTTCCCTGGCGAGGTAGTTAACATCTCCTAGCCACCGTGATGATGATGATGATGAGAGAGAGACACGCAAACTCCAAATATACAGCAGCAGGCGTCAGGGTCGGGATCGAATCCACGACCTCCTGTATACCTGGCGAGGTAGTTAACATCTCCTAGCCACCGTGATGATGATGATGAGACAGACACACGCAAACTCCAAATATTCCGGCTTTGGGGTCGAGATCGAACCCACGACCTCCTGTTTCCCTGGCGAGGTAGTTAACATCTCCTAGCCACCGTGATGATGATAATGATGAGAGAGAGAGAGACACGCAAACTCCAAATATTCCGGCTTTAGGTTCGGGATCGAGCCCACGACCTCCTGTGTACCAGGCGAGGTAGTTAACATCTCCTAGCCACCGTGATGATGATGATGAGAGAGAGACACGCAAACTCCAAATATTCCGGCTTTAGGTTTAGGATCAAGCCCACGACCTCCTGTATACCAGGCGAGGTAGTTAACATCTCCTAGCCACTGTGATGATGATGATGAGAGAGAGACACGCAAACTCCAAATATTCCGGCTTTACGTTCGGGATCGAGCCCACAACCTCCTGTGTACCAGGCGAGGTAGTTAACATCTCCTAGCCACCGTGATGATGATAATGATGAGAGAGAGAGACACGCAAACTCCAAATATTCCGGCTTTAGGTTCGGGATCGAGCCCACGACTTCCTGTGCACCAGGCGAGGTAGTTAACATCTCCTAGCCACCGTGATGATGATGATGATAAAGACACGCAAACTCCAAATATTCCGGCTTTACGTTCAGGATCGACCCCACGACCTCCTGTATACCAGGCGAGGTAGTTAACATCTCCTAGCCACCATGATGAGAGAGAGAGACACGCAAACTCCAAATATACAGCAGGCGTCAGGGTCGGGATCGAACCCTCGACCTCCTGTATCCCTGGCGAGGTAGTTAACATCTCCTAGCCACCGTGATGATGATGAGAGAGAGAGACACGCAAACTCCACATATTCCGGCTTTACATTCGGGATCGAGCCCACGACCTCCTGTATACCAGGCGAGGTAGTTACCATCTCCTAGCCACCGTTATGATGATAATGATGAGAGAGAGAGACACGAAAACTCCAAATATTCCGGCTTTAGGTTCGGGATGGAGCCCACGACCTCCTGTGTACCAGGCGAGGTAGTCAACATTTCGCCACCGCGGCGTCCAAATTGTGTTCAATGCAATGGCCATGATCATTCCACTGCTGGATGAAGGCCTCGCTCAAGCCTTTGATTGCTCACCGTTCCTATACTTTCCACTCCTGTCGTTTTTGTTGCGCTGTTTGTTGTGCTGTTGTTTGTTGTTGTGCTGTTGTTTGTTGTTGTGATGTTTGTTGTTGTGCTGTTGTTTGTTGTTGTGATGTTTGTTGTTGTGCTGTTGCTTGTTGTTGTGATGTTTGTTGTTGTGCTGTTGTTTGTTGTTGTGATGTTTGTTGTTGTGATGTTTGTTGTTGTGCTGTTGTTTGTTGTTGTGATGTTTGTTGTTGCGCTGTTGTTTGTTGTTGTGATGTTTGTTGTTGTGCTGTTGTTTGTTGTTGTGATGTTTGTTGTTGTGCTGTTGTTTGTTGTTGTGATGTTTGTTGTTGTGCTGTTGTTTGTTGTTGTGATGTTTGTTGTTGTGCTATTGTTTGTTGTTGTGATGTTTGTTGTTGTGATGTTCGTTCTTGTGTTGTTGTTTGTTGTTGTGATGTTTGTTGTTGTGCTGTTGTTTGTTGTTGTGATGTTTGTTGTTGTTGTGCTGTTTGTTGTTGTGATGTTTGTTGTTGTGATGCTTGTTGTTGTGATGTTTGTTGTTGTGCTGTTGTTTGTTGTTGTGATGTTTGTTGTTGTGCTGTTGTTTGCTGTTGTGATGTTTGTTGTTGTGCTGTTGTTTGTTGTTGTGATGTTTGTTGTTGTGATGTTTGTTGTTGTGATGTTTGTTGTTGTGTTGTTTGTTGTTGTGATGTTTGTTGTTGTGCTGTTGTTTGTTGTTGTGATGTTTGTTGTTGTGCTGTTGTTTGTTGTTGTGATATTTGTTGTTGTGCTGTTGCTTGTTGTTGTGATGTTTGTTGTTGTGCTGTTGTATGTTGTTGTGATGATTGTTGTTGTGCTGTTGTTTGTTGTTGTGATGTTTGTTGTTGTGCTGTTGTTTGTTGTTGTGATGTTTGTTGTTGTGCTGTTGTTTGTTGTTGTGATGTTTGTTGTTGTGCTGCTGTTTGTTGTTGTGATGTTCGTTGTTGTGCTGTTGTTTGTTGTTGTGATGTTTGTTGTTGGTGTGCTGTTTGTTGTTGTGATGTTTGTTGTTGTGCTGTTGTTTGTTGTTGTGATGTTTGTTGTTGTGCTGTTGTTTGTTGTTGTGATGTTTGTTGTTGTGCTGTTGCTTGTTGTTGTGATGTTTGTTGTTGTGCTGTTGTATGTTGTTGTGATGATTGTTGTTGTGCTGTTGTTTGTTGTTGTGATGTTTGTTGTTGCGCTGTTTGTTGTTGTGATGTTTGTTGTTGCGCTGTTTGTTGTTGTGATGTTTGTTGTTGTGCTGTTGTTTGTTGTTGTGATGTTTGTTGTTGTGCTGTTGTTTCCTGTTGTGATGTTTGTTGTTGTGCTGTTGTTTGTTGTTGTGATGTTTGTTGTTGTGCTGTTGTTTCCTGTTGTGATGTTTGTTGTTGTAACTTACTGGCCCCAAGCCCCTGCTGGATGTCTGCGAAAGAAAGAGGTTCATAGCTCGTGGGATTTCTCCGGGATAAATAAATATTCTGATTCACTCTCTACCCCATCGTAGCTCACTCTGCCGCGATCTCTGTGCCATCGATCTTCCTCTCTTTCTCTCTCTGCCGATTCGTCCATCTGTTAATTTAGTATATATCCATTAATCCCTATATCGATCCCCGTCTTTCTACCCATCTGTCTACCTATGCATTCAGGTATTTGTCTACGAAATGCACACACACTATATATAAATACATTTAAGTCTCTCTATCCGTCTACCTATCTGTATCTTTCCATCCATTAAGCGAATGTAGAAATAGATATAGTAAATGCATCTCTCATTCATATGTCTCTCCATACTTGCAAATATTTATTTATTTACCTATACATCTAGCTCTGTGTTCTTCTGTTTTTATTCATCTATCCATCGATATTTATCTCCCATCATCTATCTTGTCAATCCATTCATTATCCATATTTCCCTACATCCGTCTATCCATTCATCATCCATTCATCCATCTTTCCCTACATCCATCTATCCATTCATCATCCATCTATCCATTCATCATCCATTCATCCATCTATCCATTCATCATTCTCTATCCATTCATTATCCATTCATCCATCTATCCATTCATCATCCGTCTTCCCATTCATCATTCTCTATCCATTCATCATCCATTCATCCATCTATCCATTCATCATCCATCTTTCCATTCATCATCCGTCTTTCCATTCATCATCCAGCTATCCATTCCTCATCCATTCATCTATTTATTCATCATCTTTCAATCCATTAATGCATTCATCCATCTACCATCTGTCCATCCATACATCTATCAATCTTGTCTACCCATTCATTCAGTGATCCATTTATCTATCAATGTTTATTTCAGCAGGTGTGAACTCAATAGAGCAGGATTTTAGCCTCATGTGCAAAAGTGACCTGGGTCATCCAGTTACATATCCGCCCACCATACCCACCCACCCACCTTTATACCCTCACAGCTGCCCCCATCCACCCACCCACCTAAACACTCACCCACACATCTCTGTACCCCGATAGCCACCCACCCACCCATCCACCTGCCCACCCACCCATCTACACCAATATCCACCCACGCATCCACGTGCCCACCCATCTACCCACCCATCTACCCACCCATCTACCCACCCACCGATTGACCCACCCATGTACCCACCCATCTACCCACCCACCGATCGACCCACCCATGTACCCACCCATCTACCCACCCACCGATCTACCCACCGATCTACCCACCCATGTACCCACCCACCCATCCACCCACCCATCCACCCACCCATCTACCCACCCATTACTCTACCCCGATAGCCCCCCATTCCTCTACCCACCCACCCATTTACCCACCCATCGAACCACCCACCCACCCATCTACCCATCCACTGAACCATCCACCCACTCATCTACCCACCCACCCATTTACCCACCCACCCATCTACCCACTCACACCCACCCATCTACCCACCCATTTCTCTACCCTGATAGCCACCCCGCTACCCCAATAGCCGCCTCCACCACCACCGCCGCCGCCGCTGCTGCCGCCGCTGGTGGTGATCAGTGTGGTTCCTGCTCTGTCTCTCTGTGGTGTGCAGCCATCTTCAAGGTGGTGTCGGCCGTACTCCAGTTCGGAAACATCGAGTTCAAGAAGGAGAGGAACACAGACCAGGCCTCCATGCCGGACAACACGGGTACCCTCGCTAACGGGGGGGGGGAGTCACTCGATGTGGGGGGGGGGGGACACGCAGGGGGTCACTCACGGAGATGTCACGGAGAAGTCACTGCGAAGGTCGCAGGGATTGTAGAGAAAAGTCCCGCGGGGGGAGGCAGGAAGGATAGCGGAGGTGATTCAGAAGTTTTGCTGGGGGTCACGGACAGGTCGTGGGCATTGTGAGGGGTCAAGGTCAGCTCACGTGGATTGTAAAAAAAAAATTACGGAGAGGCCAAATTTGTAGTGCGGGGTCACGGTAAGGTCACGCAAGTTAACTCGGAGGTCACAGTGATCACTCAGAGCTCACGAAAAATTCAGAGGAATTCTAGAAAGGTCACGGGGATCATAGAGAGGTCACGGGGACATCACTCGTGTCGTAGGGAGGTCACAGGGAGATCATAGAGATCAGGGAGGGGTCGCGGGGAGGTCAAGTAGGAAGGTCACAGGGGTTGTAGATAGGTCACGGGCATCGTAGAGAGGTCACGGGCATCGTAGAGAGGTCACGGGGATCACAGAGAGGTCACGAGGCTAGTCACAAAGAGTATAGATCCTTGCAGTCACGAAAGCTTTAAATCTAGAATTCACAGAGACTGCTTAGAGGTCACAGGCATCGTAGAGAGGTCACGAGGCAAGTCACAGAGAGGTCACGAGGCAAGTCACAGAGAGGTCACGAGGCAAGTCACAGAGACTGTTTAGAGGCCACGGGGATCGTTCGTGAGGTTCGTAGAGGGCGCCGTGGCGACGCGGGGTGAGTGGCGCGGTTCTTTGACCGCTCGGCGTGCGCTGTGCCCTCCGCGACGTCGCTCCTCTAGCCGCGCAGAAGGTGAGCCACCTGCTGGGCATGCCGGTGACGGAGTTCACGCGCGCCATCCTCACGCCGCGCATCAAGGTCGGCCGTGACGTCGTACAGCGGGCGCAGACCAAGGAGCAGGTGCTCGCTCGCTCGCTCGTCCGCTCGCCCGCTCGCTCGCTCGATCGTCCGCTCGCTCGTCCACCCGCCCGCTCACTCACTCGCTCGGTCACTCACTTGCCAACTCGACCCGGGCGGATTGTGTCGCGCACCCATTCACTCAGCCAACCGCTAACCCACTCGTTCGCCAAGCTCGCTCGCCCAGCTGCTCACCCGCTCGCCCGCCCGCTCACCCCGCCCGCTCGCTCATTCATCGCTTGCTGACTCTGCGCAGCCCAGCGACATGCTCACGAACCCGTTCACTTACTCACCCATTCGCTCACGCGCCCGCGAACGCACTCGCTCACCCAGCCGCTCGACCAGCCCGCTCATCCGCCCGCCCACCCGCTCGCTCACTCACTTGCGAACTCACCCAGCGACATGCTGACTCACCCACCCTACTCACCCACTTGCCTACCCATCCACCCACCCACTCACTCACTCAGTCACTCACCCACTCACCCACACACTCACCCACACCCTCACCCACACTTCCACTCACCCACCCACTCACTCAGTCACTCACCCACTCACCCACACACTCACCCACACCCTCACCCACACTCCCACTCACCCACCCACTCACCCACCCACTCACCCACTCACCCACCCACTCACCCACTCACCCACTCACCCACACACTCACTCACTCACACACCCACTCACCCACCCACTCACCCACCCACCCACCCACTCACCCATTCACCCACTCACCCACTCACCCACCCACCCACTCACTCACGCACTCACCCACTCACCCACTCACCCACCCACCCGCGCACACACCCACTCACCCACCCACACACCCACTCACCCACCCACCCACTCACCCACCCACCCACTCACCCACCCACCCACTCACTCACCCACTCACCCACCCACCCGCGCACACACCCACCCACCCACTCACCCACCCACCCGCGCACTCACCCACCCACTCACCCACCCACTCACCCACACACCCACCCACACACCCACTCACTCACCCACGCACCCACCCACCCACTCACCCACCCACCCACTCACCCACCCACCCACTCACCCACTCACCCACACACCCACTCACCCACCCACTCACTCACCCACACACCCACTCACCCACTCACCCACCCACCCACTCACCCACGCACCCACCCACCCACACACTCACCCGCCCACCCGCGCACACGTGAGATTCTGTCCCCGTGCTCTCACCCTCCATGCTTCCTTCATCCCCGTCTCCCTCCAGGCCGACTTCGCTGTAGAGGCGCTGGCCAAGGCGCTGTACGACCGCCTGTTCCGCTGGCTCGTCTTCCGCGTGAACAAAACCCTGGACAAGACCCACCGGCAGGGCGCCTCCTTCATCGGCATCCTCGACATCGCCGGCTTCGAGATCTTCGAGGTTCGCCTTTCGACCGTCGTAGCAATGCGAGGTCCTCCGATTGTCGCAGCGTGTAACGTGGGGGTGGTAACGTGGGGGTGGTAACGTGGGGGTGGTAACGTGGGGGTGGTAACGTGGGGGTGGTAACGTGGGGATGGTAACGTGGGGGTGGTAACGTGGGGGTGGTAACGTGGGGGTGGTAGCGAGGGTGGGGGGTCTTTGTTAAACCCACCAAGCGGCCGTGCACCTCTCCCTCCCCTTCCACCGTGATGGTGACGAGGATGATGATGATGATGGCGGTGGCGGTGGTGGTGGTGAGGATGATGACCATGGTGACGTTGACGACGACGATGATGGCGATGATGACGGTGCACACTACGCTGACGGCGTATGCCCGCTCTTCAGCGCGCGCGTTCACCTGTGCGCGAGTTCACCTGCGTGCGAGTTCACCTGCGCGCGAGTTCACCTGCGTGCGAGTTCACCTGCGTACGTCCTTCCACCCCCCCCCCCCCTCACTGTGGACCCTTGCCCCCCCCCACTCCCCCCCCCCCACCACACACAACGGATCCGGCCACAGCTGAACTCGTTCGAGCAGCTGTGCATCAACTACACGAACGAAAAGCTGCAGCAGCTGTTCAACCACACGATGTTCATCCTGGAGCAGGAGGAGTACCAGCGGGAGGGCATCGAGTGGAACTTCATCGACTTCGGACTCGACCTGCAGCCCTGCATCGAGCTCATAGAGCGCGCGGTGAGTCCGCAGAGAGTCGCTCAGTAGAGACCCTCAGTAGAGACCCTCACTCAGTAGAGACCCTCAGTAGAGACCCTCACTCAGTAGAGACCCTCAGTAGAGACTCTCACTCTGTAGAGACCTTCACTCAGTAGAGACTCTCAGTAGAGACTCTCAGTAGAGACCCTCACTCAGTAGAGACTCTCAGTAGAGACTCTCACTCAGTAGAGACTCTCACTCAGTAAAGACTCTCACTCAGTAGAGACCTTCACTCAGTAGAGACTCTCAGTAGAGACCCTCAGTAGAGACTCTCACTCAGTAGAGACTCTCACTCAGTAGAGACCCTCAGTAGAGACCCTCACTCAGTAGAGACCCTCACTCAGTAGAGACTCTCAGAAGAGACCCTCACTCAGTAGAGACCCTCACTCAGTAGAGACCCTCACTCAGTAGAGACCCTCACTCAGTAGAGACCCTCACTCAGTAGAGACTCTCAGTAGAGACCCTCACTCAGTAGAGACTCTCAGTAGAGAACCTCACTCAGTAGAGATCCTCACTCAGTAGAGACCCTGACTCAGTAGAGACTCTCAGAAGAGACCCTCACTCAGTAGAGACCCTCACTCAGTAGAGACCCTCACTCAGTAGAGACCCTCACTCAGTAGAGACCCTCACTCAGTAGAGACCCTCAGTAGAGACCCTCACTCAGTAGAGACCCTCACTCAGTAGAGACCCTCAGTAGAGACCCTCACTCAGTAGAGACTCTCACTCAGTAGAGACTCTCACTCAGTAGAGACTCTCAGTAGAGACTCTCACTCAGTAGAGGCTCTCACTCAGTAGAGACCCTCAGTAGAGACCCTCACTCAGTAGAGACTCTCAGTAGAGACTCTCACTCAGTAGAGACCCTCACTCAGTAGAGACTCTCACTCAGTAGAGACTCTCACTCAGTAGAGACTCTCAGTAGAGACTCTCACTCAGTAGAGACCCTCACTCTGTAGAGACTCTCAGTAGAGACCCTCACTAAGTAGAGACTCTCACTAAGTAGAGACCCTCACTCTGTAGAGACTCTCACTCAGTAGAGACTCTCAGTAGAGACTCTCACTCAGTAGAGACCCTCACTCAGTAGAGACTCTCACTCAGTAGAGACTCTCACTCAGTAGAGACTCTCACTCAGTAGAGACCCTCACTCAGTAGCGACTCTCAGTAGAGACCCTCACTCAGTAGAGACCCTCACTCAGTAGAGACTCTCACTCAGTAGAGACTCTCACTCAGTAGAGACTCTCACTCAGTAGAGACTCTCACTCAGTAGAGACTCTCAGTAGAGACTCTCACTCAGTAGAGACCCTCACTCAGTAGAGACTCTCAGTAGAGACCATCAGTAGAAACCCTCACTCAGTAGAGACCCTCACTCAGTAGAGACCCTCACTCAGTAGAGACCCTCAGTAGAGACCCTCACTCAGTAGAGACCCTCACTCTGTAGAGACCCTCACTCAGTAGAGACTCTCAGTAGAGACTCTCACTCAGTAGAGAACCTCACTCTGTAGAGACTCTCACTCAGTAGAGACTCTCAGTAGAGACTCTCACTCAGTAGAGAGCCTCACTCTGTAGAGACCCTCACTCAGTAGAGACTCTCAGTAGAGACTCTCAGTAGAGACTCTCACTCAGTAGAGACCCTCACTCAGTAGAGACTTTCAGTAGAGACCCTCACAGTAGAGACTCTCACTCAGTAGAGACCCTCACTCAGTAGAGACCCTCACTCAGTAGAGACCCTCACTCTGTAGAGACTCTCAGTAGAGACCATCAGTAGAAACCCTCACTCAGTAGAGACCCTCACTCAGTAGAGACCCTCACTCAGTAGAGACCCTCAGTAGAGACCCTCACTCAGTAGAGACCCTCACTCTGTAGAGACCCTCACTCAGTAGAGACTCTCAGTAGAGACTCTCACTCAGTAGAGACCCTCACTCAGTAGAGACCCTCAGTAGAGACTCTCACTCAGTAGAGACTCTCAGTAGAGACCCTCACTCAGTAGAGACTCTCAGTAGAGACCCTCACTCAGTAGAGACTCTCAGTAGAGACCCTCACTCAGTAGAGACCCACACTCTGTAGAGACCCTCACTCAGTAGAGACTCTCAGTAGAGACCCTCACTCAGTAGAGACCCACACTCTGTAGAGACTCTCACTCAGTAGAGACTCTCAGTAGAGACCCTCACTCAGTAGAGACACTCACTCAGTAGATATAGAGTGACCCTCACTCTATCGACATGGAGGGACACTGCGTGTGTGGTGCTGCCCTCCCCGCTATCGTAACCCCCCATGGCCACGTGCGGCGTCGTCCCTTCTGCACCCTCCATCCCCCTCCCTAGAACAACCCGCCCGGCGTCCTGGCGCTGCTGGACGAGGAGTGTTGGTTCCCGAAGGCGACGGACAAGAGCTTCGTGGACAAACTGGGGCAGGAGCAGGGGAGCAACCCCAAGTTCCAGAAGCCGCGGCAAGTGAAGGAGAAGTGCGACTTCATCATCGTCCACTACGCCGGCAAGGTGAGCCACGTTGACGACGTGGCGACGATGAATTGATTGACGGCAATGGGTGGATGAGTGAGTAGGTGAGTGGGTGGGTGAGTGAGTGGGTGGATGAGTGAGTAAGTGAGTGGGTGAGTGGGTGGGTAAATGAGTGGGTGGATGAGTGAGTAAGCGAGTGGCCGGATGAGTGAGTGGGTGGATGAGTGAGTGGGTGGTTGAGTCAGTGAGTGAGTGGTTGGATGAGTGAGTGGCCGGTTGAGTGAGTGGGTGGATGAGTGAGTGAGTGAGTGGGTGGATGAGTGGGTGGATGAGTGAGTGAGTGGATGAGGGAGTGGGTAGATTAATGAGTGGGTGGGTGAGTGAGTGAGTGGGTGGATGAGTGGGTGGATGAGTGTGTAAGTGAGTGGGTGGATGAGTGATTGGGTGGTTAAATGAGTGGGTGGATGAGTGAGTAAGTGAGTGGCCGGATGAGTGAGTGGGTGGATGAGTGAGTGAGTGGGTGGGTAAATGAGTGGGTGGATGAGTGAGTAAGTGAGTGGCCGGATGAGTGATTGGGTGGATGAGTGAGTGGGTGGATGAGTGAGTGAGTGAGTGGTTGGATGAGTGAGTGGCCGGATGAGTGAGTGGGTGGATGAGTGAGTGAGTGGGTGGATGAGGGAGTGGGTGGATGAATGAGTGGGTGGGTGAGTGAGTGGGTGGATGAGTGAGTGGGTGGGTAAATGAATGGTTGGATGAGTGAGTAAGTGTGTGGCCGGATGAGTGAGTGGGTGGATGAGTGAGTGAGTGGTTGGATGAGTGAGTGAGTGGGTGGATGAGTGGATGGACGAATGAGTGGGTGGATGAGGGAGTGGGTGGATGAATGAGTGGGTGGGTGGATGAGTCGGTGGATGATTGAGTGAGTGGGTGGATGAATGAGTGAGTGGGTGGATGAGTGAGTGGGTGGATGAGTAAGTGAGTGAGTGGGTGGATGTGTGAGTGGGTGGATGAGTGGGTGGATGAGTGAATGAGTGAGTGAGTGGGTGGATGAGTAGGTGGATGAGTGAGTGAGTGAGTGAATGGGTGGATGAGGGAGTGGGTGGTTGAATGAGTAGGTGGGTGGATGAGTGGGTGGATTATTGAGTGAGTGCATGGATGAGTGTGTGGGTGGATGAATGAGTGGGTGAATGAGTGAGTGAGTGGGTGGATGAGTGAGTGAGTGGGTGGATGAGTGGCCGGATGAGTGAGTGAGTAGATGAGTGGGTGGATGAGTGAGTGAGTAGGTGGATGAGTGCATGGCCGGATGAGTGAGTGGGTGGATGAGTGAGTGAGTGGGTGAATGAGTGGGTGGATGAGTGAGTGGGTGGATGAGTGAGTGGGTGGATGAGTGAGTAGCCGGATGAGTGAGTGGGTGGATGAGTGAGTGAGTGAGTGGGTGGGTAAATGAGTGGCTGGATGAGTGAGTGGGTGGATGAGTGAGTGGGTGGATGAGTGAGTGAGTGAGTGGTTGGATGAGTGAGTGGCCGGATTAGTGAGTAGGTGGATGAGTGAGTGAGTGGATGAATGAGTGGGTGGGTGAGTGAGTGAGTGGGTGGATGAGTGGGTGGATGAGTGAGTGAGTGAGTGGGTGGATGAGTGAGTGGGTGGGTAAATGGGTGGTTGGATGAGTGAATAAGTGTGTGGCCGGATGAGTGAGTGGGTGGATGAGTGAGTGAGCGGGTGGATGAGTGAGTGAGTGGGTGGATGAGTGGATGGACGAGTGAGTGGGTGGATGAGGGAGTGGGTGGATGAGTAAGTGAGTGAGTGGGTGGATGTGTGAGTGGGTGGATGAGTGGGTGGATGAGTGAGTGGGTGGATGAGTCGGTGGATGATTGAGTGAGTGTGTGGATGAATGAGTGAGTGGGTGGATGAGTGAGTGGGTGGATGAGTAAGTGAGTGAGTGGGTGGATGTGTGAGTGGGTGGATGAGTGGGTGGATGAGTGAGTGGGTGGATGAGTAGGTGGATGAGTGGGTGGATGAGTGAGTGAGTGGATGAGGGATTGGGTAGATTAATGAGTGGGTGGGTGAGTGAGTGAGTGGGTGGATGAGTGGGTGGATGAGTGAGTAAGTGAGTGGGTGGATAAGTGATTGGGTGGGTAAATGAGTGGGTGGATGAATGAGTGAGTAGCCGGATGAGTGAGTGGGTGGATGAGTGAGTGAGTGGGTGGGTAAATGAGTGGGTGGATGAGTTAGTAAGTGAGTGGCCGGATGAGTGAGTGGGTGGATGAGTGAGTGGGTGGATGAGTGAGTGAGTGAGTGGTTGGATGAGTGAGTGGCCGGATTAGTGAGTAGGTGGATGAGTGAGTGAGTGGGTGGATGAGTGGGTGGATGAGTGAGTGAGTGGGTGGATGAGGGAGTGGGTGGATGAATGAGTGGGTGGGTGAGTGAGTGAGTGGGTGGATGAGTGGGTGGATGAGTGAGTGAGTGAGTGGGTGGATGAGTGAGTGGGTGGGTAAATGGGTGGTTGGATGAGTGAGTAAGTGTGTGGCCGGATGAGTGAGTGGGTGGATGAGTGAGTGAGCGGGTGGATGAGTGAGTGAGTGAGTGGGTGGATGAGTGGATGGACGAGTGAGTGGGTGGATGAGGGAGTGGGTGGATGAATGAGTGGGTGGGTGGATGAGTCGGTGGATGATTGAGTGAGTGTGTGGATGAATGAGTGAGTGGGTGGATGAGTGAGTGGGTGGATGAGTAAGTGAGTGAGTGGGTGGATGTGTGAGTGGGTGGATGAGTGGGTGGATGAGTGAGTGGGTGGATGAGTAGGTGGATGAGTGAGTGAGTGAGTGAATGGGTGGATGAGGGAGTGGGTGGATGAATGAGTAGGTGGGTGGATGAGTGGGTGGATTATTGAGTGAGTGGATGGATGAGTGTGTGGGTGGATGAGTGAGTGGGTGAATGAGTGAGTGAGTGGGTGGATGAGTGAGTGAATGGGTGGATGAGTGGGTGGATGAGTGAGTGAGTAGATGAGTGGGTGGATGAGTGAGTGAGTAGGTGGATGAGTGCATGGCCGGATGAGTGAGTGGGTGGATGAGTGGGTGGATGAGTGAGTGAGTGAGTGGTTGGATGAGTGCGTGGATGAGTGAGTGAGTGGGTGAATGAGTGGGTGGATGAGTGAGTGAGTGGGTGGATGAGTTTGTGGGTGGATGTGTGAGTGGGTGGATGAGTAAGTGGGTGGGTAAATGAGTGGGTGGATGAATGAGTGAGTGGATGAGTGAGTGGATGATAAGTGAGTGAGTCAGCGGGTGGATGAGTGAGTGGATGATAAGTGAGTGAGTCAGCGGGTGGATGAGTGAGTGGGTGGATAGCTGAGTGTGCGAGTGTTTGGATGAGTGGGCCAGTGAGCGGGTGGCTCTCTGCCCTAGAGTTTCCACCTTTCCCCCCCCAAAAACAAAACTCTGACGGGTGGCAACCCTCACCCCCGCTCCTCCCAAATGCCGCTCCACCCTCCGCCCTCCCTCCACCTCTCTCCCCTCGAGTCGCTCCTGCCCAAGACCTAACCCCCCGCTCCCCCCCCCCCTCTCTCTGCCCCCACCCCCCCTGCCCCCCCCCCCCCCCCCCCACGTTGCACCGGTCTCACCGGTACAGGTGGAGTACCAGGCAGACCAATGGCTCACCAAGAACATGGACCCACTGAACGACAACGTGGCGTCGCTGCTCAACCAGTCGTCCGACAAGTTCGTGGCCGAGCTCTTCAAGGACGGTGAGCCGAGGCCGATGTTGGGGGGGGGGGGGTGGGGGGGGGGCGGGGGAGTGGGGGGTGGGGGGTCCGCGGGTACGATCCCGACTCTAAACGCCTGCTGAGTGATTCGGGGCTCGCGTCTCGTTGCTCGACCCACGCGGTTCAGCGCCGGTGGAAGTGGAGTTCCCGGGTCCGTGCGAAGTGCCGACGCTCCAGTACGGGGAAAATAAATAAATAAATAGTGCCCGCTCGTGTTTCTCTCTCCTTGCGATGGGACTTTGTGGGATGAACGTCGAGATTAATAAGGGGCACGGGGGGGGGGTGACCAATAAGATCTGAGTTGGTCTGTAATAAGGTAGGGCACTGATAAGGGGTTGACAGGTTTGTAGTGGTGAGTGTAGTAATGAGTGTACTAGTGGTGAGTGTACTAGTGGTTATTGTGTATTTTATTGTGTTTCTCCCTTGCGATGGGACTTTGTGGGATGAACGTCGAGATTTATAAGGGGCACGGGGGGTGACCAATAAGTTCTGAGTTGGTCTGTAATATGGTAGGGCACTGATAAGGGGTTGACAGGTTTGTAGTGGTGAGTGTAGTAATGAGTGTACTAGTGGTGAGTGTACTACTGGTTATTGTGTATTTGTTTGTGTTTCTCCCTTGCGATGGGACTTTGTGGGATGAACGTCGAGATTTATAAGGGGCACTGGGGGGGGTGACCAATAAGATCTGAGTTGGTCTGTAATAAGGTAGGGCACTGATAAGGGGTTGATAGGTATGTAGTAGTGAGTGTAGTAATGAGTGTACTAGTGGTGAGTGTACTAGTGGTTATTGTGTATTTGTTTGTGTTTGTCCCTTGCGATGGGACTTTGTAGGATGAACGTCGAGATTTATAAGGGGCACGGGGGGTGACCAATAAGATCTGAGTTAGTCTGTAATAAGGTAGGGCACTGATAAGGGGTTGACAGGTAAGTAGTGGTGAGTGTAGTAATGAGTGTACGAGTGGTGAGTGTACTAGTGGTTATTGTGTATTTTATTGTGTTTCTCCCTTGTGATGGGACTTTGTAGGATGAACGTCGAGATTTATAAGGGGCACGGGGGGGGGGGGTGACCAATAAGATCTGAGTTGGTCTGTAATAAGGTAGGGCACTGATAAGGGGTTGATAGGTATGTAGTGGTGAGTGTAGTAATGAGTGTACTAGTGGTGAGTGTACTAGTGGTTATTGTGTATTTGTTTGTGTTTGTCCCTTGCGATGGGACTTTGTAGGATGAACGTCGAGATTTATAAGGGGCACTGGGGGGGGGTGACCAATAAGATCTGAGTTGGTCTGTAATAAGGTAGGGCACTGATAAGGGGTTGATAGGTATGTAGTAGTGAGTGTAGTAATGAGTGTACTAGTGGTGAGTGTACTAGTGGTTATTGTGTATTTGTTTGTGTTTGTCCCTTGCGATGGGACTTTGTAGGATGAACGTCGAGATTTATAAGGGGCACGGGGGGGGGGGGGGGTGACCAATAAGATCTGAGTTGGTCTGTAATAAGGTAGGGCACTGATAAGGGGTTGACAGGTTTGTAGTGGTGAGTGTAGTAATGAGTGTACTAGTGGTGAGTGTACTACTGGTTATTGTGTATTTGTTTGTGTTTCTCCCTTGCGATGGGACTTTGTAGGATGAACGTCGAGATTTATAAGGGGCACGGGGGGGGGGGGGTGACCAATATGGTCTGAATCGATCTGTAATAAGGTAGGGCACTGATCAGGGGTTAACAGGTATGGGTTTATCCTGGAGAAATCGCATTGGCTACGGAAGTCTTTTTCGCAGACGTCTAGAAGGAGGGGGCACGGGGTCAGAATGTCACAACAACCAAAAACATCGCTGCAACAACAACAACAACGCCTATAGGAATGCAAACTCTAGGAAAGTCTAGCAAATCAGAGGCTTGGGTGGAGGCGCATTGAATACAAGCGTGGATCCGTGGTGTCTATGAGATGTTAACTCCCTCGCCTGGTGTACAGGAGGTCGTGGGTTCGATGGCGACTCTTGACATCTGCTGCTGTATATTTGGAGTTTGCCGTGTGTCTATCTCTCTCTCTCTCTCCCCTCCGTGGTCGCGTGGATTTTTCTCCCCCGGAGACCTCCGATTCTCCCCCTCCAACATTCAGACTCGACGAAGCGCGTTGAGAGTCACGGCGGTTTGTGCCGTTCATTCGCACGCGACGGTGACAAGGCGCGTTGGTCGAGCCTTCATTTGCGATTGTCAGGTCGCCTCCGATATTAAAAAAAAAACAGAAAGAAGGCCACGTTCGCAGCAGCTCAGTGACGGGCCTCGCCCGGTGAAATAAAAAGCTGAAGGTTTTTTTTTTTTTTTTACCGAACATGCCACCGAGTTTTTCACAGGCGCCCCTTCGTCAGCCCCGGCCCCCCACCTCCCCCCCCCCCACCGCCCCCCCCCCCCCCCCCCCACCGGCGGAGCGTTTCGTGTGGACGAACCGGGCCACGAGCCTGGTGGGGCGAGCCCGGCTTAGGGGGCGGCGCCGTCGCCCCCCAACTTTTCAAATTATTCCACCGCCTCTGACACCTCGCCCGTGAATTTCCCGTGCCACCACCCCCTGCTTCACCCCCCCCCTACCTCCGCCCGACACCCCCCCCCCCCACCCCGTTCTCCCGCCCCCAGTTGACCGCATCGTGGGGCTGAACCAGGCGGCGAACCTGGGGGGAGACTCCGGCTTCGGCGGGGCCGCGTCCAAGACCAAGAAGGGGATGTTCCGCACGGTGGGGCAGTTGTACAAGGAGCAGCTGGGCAAGCTCATGTCCACGCTGCGCAGCACCAACCCCAACTTCGTGCGCTGCATCATCCCCAACCACGAGAAGCGGGTGGGTGGGGGGCGGGGGGTGGGGGGGGGGTCACGCGCGGTGTGTCTCGGTGACGTGGAGTGCGTGGGTCACGCGGCTGTGGGTCACGTGGTTGTGGGTCATGGGTGTGCGTGGGTCACGCGGCTGTGGGTCACGCGGCTGTGGGTCACGTGGTTGTGGGTCACGGGTGTGCGTGGGTCACGCGGCTGTGGGTCACGCGGCTGTGGGTCACGTGGTTGTGGGTCATGGGTGTGCGTGGGTCACGCGGCTGTGGGTCACGTGGTTGTGGGTCATGGGTGTGCGTGGGTCACGCGGCTGTGGGTCACGCGGCTGTGGGTCACGTGGTTGTGGGTCATGGGTGTGAGGGGGTCACGCGGCTGTGGGTCACGTGGTTGTGGGTCATGGGTGTGCGTGGGTCACGCGTGTGAGTGGGTCACGCGGCTGTGGGTCACGTGGTTGTGGGTCATGGGTGTGCGTGGGTCACGCGTGTGAGTGGGTCACGCGGCTGTGGGTCACGTGGTTGTGGGTCATGGGTGTGCGTGGGTCACGTGGTTGTGGGTCACGCGGGTGTGTGGTGGGTCACACGCGGGTGAGAGGGAGTTTGGTGCCGTCTCTTCATTTGCCCGGCCGATTCGTCTGGGGCGCCGCACGGATGGATTGCGCTTCGGGTGGTGCCGTGACTGGCTACCGCCCGGTTGTGTGGGTCTCTGTGTGAGTCTATGGGTCTCTGTGTGAGTCTATGGGTCTCTGTGTGAGTCTATGTGTCTCTGTGTGAGTCTATGTGTCTCTGTGTGAGTCTGTGTCTCTGTGTGGGTCTATGGGTCTCTGTGTGAGTCTATGGGTCTCTATGTGAGTCTATGGGTCTCTGTGTGAGTCTATGGGTCTATTTGTGAGTCTATGGGTCTCTGTGTGAGTCTATGGATCTCTGTGTGAGTCTATGTTTATCTGTAGTGAGTCTATGGGTCTCTGTTTGAGTCTATGTTTTTTCTGTAGTGAGTCTATGGGTCTCTGTATGAGTCTAATGTGTCTCTGTGTGAGTCTATGTGTCTCTGTGTGAGTCTATGTGTCTCTGTGTGGGTCTATGTGTCTCTGTGTGAGTCTATGTGTCTCTGTGTGGGTCTATCTATCTCTGTGTGAGTCTATGTGACTCTGTGTGAGTCTATGGGTCTCTGTGTGTGTCTAATGTGTCTCTGCGTGAGTCTATGTGTCTCTGTGTGAGTTTAATGTGTCTCTGTGTGAGTCTACGTGTGTATGTTGAACTTCTTCCGCACCGTACGTAGCCAACCGCGCTAATCGGAGGTGCGGTCGTCACCACCCGACTCCCCTCCTGCCCCCCCCACTACCCTACCCCCCACTATCCCCACCCCCCCTCTAGTCTGGCAAGTTGGAGAGCCACCTCGTCCTGGAGCAGCTGCGATGCAACGGAGTCCTGGAGGGGATCCGCATCTGCCGCCAGGGATTCCCCAACCGCGTCGTCTTCCAGGAGTTCCGGCAGCGGTGAGGGCGGGCCGCCACCGCCGTCTGTACGGGGATAGAGCGTTGCCCCCTCGCAGGCGTGGGTTTTCTCCGGGTGCTCAGGTTTCCTCCTACGCGTTATTGGCCATTAACAGCTTGATGTATAGAGGACCGCAGAGCTTGGGCAATAGGAGTGCCACGGTGGCTAGGAGATGTTAACTACCTCGCCTGGTGTACAGGAGGTCGTGGGATTGATCCCGACCCTGATGCCTGCTGCTGTATATTTGGAGTTTGCGTGTCTCTCTTTCATCATCATCACGGTGGATAGGAGATGTTAACTACCACGCTCGGTGTACAGGAGGTCGTGGGTTCGATCCCGACCCTTCCGCCTGCTGTATATTTGGAGTTTCCGTGTCTCTCTCTCATCATCATCACGGTGGCTAGGAGATGTCAACTACCTCGCCTGATGTACAGGAGGTCGTGGGTTCGATCCCGACCCTGACGCCTGCTGCTGGTGTATATTTGGAGTTTGCGTGTCTCTCTCTCTCTCCGTGGTCGCGTGGATTTTTCTCCGGGAACCCCGTTTTTTTTCCTCCACGGTCAGATTCAACATTCCCCATTGAGATTATTTGGCCGCTATGAATGTCCACGTGAGGAGCCACTCAGTTGAGTTTAACACGGGGGCTCTCGTAACCCTCCACCACCCGACACAGCTTGTAAGGTTTGTCACTTTAACAAAACGCGCCAATTAGTTACTAGTATAGTGTATAGTAGTGTATAGTGTAGTGTATAGTAGTGGAGTGTATAGTAGTGCAGTGTATAGGAGTGTATAGTGTAGTGTATAGTGTAGTGTATAGTGTAGTGTATAGTAGTGTATAGTAGTGTAGTGTATAGTAGTGGAGTGTATTGTGTAGTGTATAGTGTAGTGTAAAGCAGTGTAGTGTATAGTAGTGTATAGTGTAGTGTATAGTAGTGTAGTGTATAGTATTATAGTGTAGTGTATAGTAGTAGTGTATAGTGTAGTGTATAGTAGTGTATAGTGTAGTGTATAGCAGTGTCGTGTATATAATTTAGTGTATAGTGTAGTGTAAAGTGTAGTGTATAGTAGTGTAGTGTATAGTAGTGTAGTGTATAGTGTAGTGTATAGTAGTGTAGTGTATAGTGTAGTGTATAGTGTAGTGTATAGTGTAGTGTATAGCAGTGTAGTGTATAGCAGTGTAGTGTATAGTAGTGTATAGTGTAGTGTATAGTATAGTGTATAGTGTAGTGTATAGTGTAGTGTATAGTATAGTGTATATTATAGTGTATAGTGTAGTGTATAGTGTAGTATACTAGTTCAGCCCGCCAGTGCGTCGGAGAGTCATTCCACAACTTTTACAATTCGAGTCGTGCCGTGGCGTTTCGCCGGTAGTTTCATCAACCAGAATCATCGCGCGATTTGGCAGCTCCCCGTTGTGGTGGCCAGGTGGCTTCTGAAAAAAATCTGCACAAGCCGAGTGGGCCCCTTTACCTGCTAAAATAAAAACTCGTTTCGTTTTAGTTGCATCACCTTGCTCCTCCTGCTTCTCCTCGTCCCTCCGCTACCGCTACTATAATTCATTGTTGTTATTCTAGATTTAAAGCTTTCGTGACTGCAAGGATCCATACTCTTTGGTTCTATTCGGTAAAGTCACGTAGGTCAAAAATAAAACAACAAAAGTCACGAAGTTGCGGCCACAACACAAGCGGCCTTCATCAGGTGACTGTCTCGAAGACTGCGCTGGAGTTGAAAAAAAAAGGTGGTCCCTTCACCTGATGAAGGCCGCCTGTGTTGTGGCCGAAACGTCGTGATTTTTGTTGTTTAATTTTTTACCTACGTGACTTTACCGAATAGAACCAAAGAGTATGGTTGTTATTGTTGGCTTGTTTTTGCACACTACAGCGTTGATATTCGGTGCTTTTTCCGGAAGACTTTTGCTGTTTTTTCCCTGGAATTATTCTGTTTGCGCGTAGTCACTTTAAGATGTTATCTTGTTCATGTTTTTGTTTAGTTGCAGTTGCACCCGAGTCAAGAGCAGCAACAGCTCACAGGGCTATAACCAAATAAGTGAAACTGAAACTGAAACGAACTGAAGTTCTTGATTTAAAGCTTTCGTGACTGCAGTAATTCATATTCTTAGCGCTTTCGGTAAAGTCACGTTGATGATGACCGTTTGTGTTACGGTCGAAACGTCGTTAGAATTTTATTGTTTTATATATATTATTATTTTTCGATTTAAAGCTTTCGTAACTGCAAGCGGCCTTCATCAGGTGAAGGGACGAGACTGTCTGGAGGACAGCGCTGGAGCGAACACAGCCAAGCTCAGACCGCGACCTTTAAGCTGTGTGAGAAGAAACAGAGCGCCTTGACAAAGGAATTAGCATAGAATTTAGCATTGAAATAGCTGTGTTCGCTCCAGCGCTGTCCTCCAGACCGTCTCGTCCCTTCACCTGATGAAGGCCGCTTCTGTTGGGGCCGAAACGTCGTGAGAATTTTATTGTGTTATTTTATTTTATCAATTTATTATTTTACTCTCATTCTACGTGACTTTACCGAAAGAACCAAAGAAGATATATTATTATTATTTTATTGTTTCCCTTCAACGTGACTTTACCGGTAGAGCTAAGAATATGAACTGAAATTCCACAGCCACTGTATCGCGATGCGGCCACTCTCCAATCGTCTCCCCTTCCTCCCCCTGTCCCTCTCTGCTCTCGCTGTTGTCGTTGTCCGAGACCCTGTCACCTCCCTGGCTCTCTGCTGGTGCTACCCTGCTGAGTTAGCCTCGAGTCGTGGATGCGTCTCCGTCTCGCCTCTCTGTTAATTCCGAGCGTCGTCACGACAGCCGCTCTGTGAGCATCGCTCCGCAACTCCCTGTCTCTCTGTTACCGCTGCTTTTCAGGTACGAGATCCTGACCCCTCACGCAATCCCCAAGGGATTCATGGACGGCAAGCAGGCGTGCGACCTCATGGTACGACGAGAGGGGCGAAGCACGGTGGAGAGGGGTTGGTGGGTCACAGGGAGATGACGACTACTGTGATGACGCGTGACGATGGCTACGATATGATGGTGGTCACGGTGACGACGCGTGGCGATGGTGGTCACGGTGATGACGATGGTGTCGGCGATGGTGTTGGTGACTGTGGTGAAGTCACCATGGATGGGTGCAGTGGCTCTTTGATGATGGTGATGATGGTGGTGGTGGTGGTGATGGTGGTGGTGGTGAGATTGGTGATGATGGTGATGGTGGTGGTGATGGTGGTGATGATGGTGATGATGGTGATTGATGATGGTGGTGGTGGTGATGATGGTGGTGATGATGATAATGGTGATGATGATGATTTATGATGATATTGGTGATAATAATAATGGTGGTGATGATGATAATGGTGATGCTGATGATAGTGGTGGTGATGATGATGATGATTGTGGTGATGATGATGATGATGATGATTGATGATGGTGGTGGTGATGATGATAATGGTGATGATGATGATGGTGGTGATGATGATGATGATGGTGGTGATGATGATGGTGGTGGTGTTGGTGATGATGGTGGTGTTGGTGATGATGATGGTGGTGATGGTGGTGGTGTTGGTGATGATGATGGTGGTGGTGATGATGATGATGGTGGTGATGGTGGTGGTGGTGGTGATGATGATGGTTGTGATGATGGTGGTGGTGATGATGGTGGTGATGATCATGGTGGTGGTGAGATGATAATGGTGGTGATGATAGTGGTGGTGGTGGTGATGATGATGATGATGATGATTGATGATGGTGGTGATGATGATGATGGTGGTGTTGGTGATGATGATAGTGGTGATGATGATTGATGATGATGGTGGTGATGATGATGATGATAATGGTGATGATGATGATGAATTCAAGGGCAGTAATGTTACCCCCGCATCTTACATTCCGACGATGATGTCCACACACACCCCTCCCCCCCCATCCACATCATTTCTCCTAATCGCTCCGTCTCTCTGTCACCCCCCCCCCCCCCCTCCCTCCGCGTCTCAGATCAAATCCCTGGAACTGGATTCGAACTTGTTCCGCATCGGCCAAAGCAAAGTGTTCTTCCGTACGGGAGTTCTTGCTCACCTGGAGGAGGAGCGCGACATGAAAATCACCGACATCATCATCGCCTTCCAGTCGCTGTGCCGGGGCTACCTGTCGCGCAAGTACGCGCGTACTCGCTCGCACAAAGACAAAGGTCCCCCCGTGTAGCCTTAGCGGACTGTTGGGGCAAGTGCCGTTAGCGAGCAGCACCTGTGAAGGCCGGCACGGTAACACACGAGGGTGGGTGGGTGGCCCAGCAACCACGCCCGGCCGCCTTTGTCTCCCCAGTGGCGATGTTTACACACCGGACCGGGTACTCATTTGAGGCTGAGTCGACCTAGGAAAAGCCCAGGACCGGTTCAGATAATCGCCACCGGTGTTGGCCGTGAGCGGGAATCGAACTCGGCTCGCCGGGTTCGTAGCGCAGCGCTGATCGCCACGCCAACGCTCCCCGCGCACGTGTACACGGGTGAACACGCGTGTACACGCGTCGACACATGTGTACACGGGTGAACACGCGTGTACACGCTCCGCACACATGTGTACACGGGTGAACACGCGTGTACACGCTCCCCACACACGTGTACACGGGCGAACACGCGTGTACACGCTCCCCACACATGTGTACACGGGCGAACACGCGTGTACGCGCGTGTACACATGTGTACACGGGCGAACACGTGTACACGCTCCCCACGCATGTGTACACGTGTGTAGACGCGTGTACACGCGTGTACACATGTGTACACGGGCGAACACGCGTGTACACGCGTCTACACGTGTACACGGGCGAACACGCGTGTACACATGTGTACACGCTCCCAACACACGTGTACACGCGTCTACACACGCGCGACTTGGCGCGACCGGACGTTTGTGAAACTACTATGGGGGGGGGGGGGGGGGTGGTGGGGTGGGAAGGAAAAACAAAGAGCTTCATAGCTCATCGGATTCCTCGAGACTCGGAACTCTCCGTGCCCGCGCAGGGCGCACGCTCGCAAGATGCAGCAGATGAGCGCGCTGAAGATCCTGCAGCGCAACTGCGCGGCCTACCTCAAGCTTCGCAACTGGCAGTGGTGGCGCCTCTTCACCAAGGTGCGAGCGCAGCCATCGGCACTACACGCTGCAGTCACCACCCCCGACACACCGTGCCCAACCTAACCCCTCCACCATGGCGTTTGTCGCCGCGACGTTCCGACCCAACGTGCGCCGACTGCACATCCGTGACGCAAAGAGCTTCAGAGCTCGTCGGATTCTTCCTGCGGGTTAAGTAAATATTGTGATTCTCACTGCCCCCTTCCGCACACATACACACACGCACGCACACACACAGACAGACAGCGCCCTCCATGGCAAACGCAAAAGGGATGCACGACACACATCAGCTGGAGTAAAAACTAAAAAAGCCACCACCCCCCCCCCATCCCGAATAATGGACGGTAACGAAAGTGATGACGAGTCTCGATCTCGCTCAAACCCGAACGCGGCCGCGTTCCCCGCCTCTCCCCCCGTGAGCCTTGCTGCTCCTCCGCTCGGGGAGACAAAGGCGGCCGGGCGTGGTGCCGGTCGCCACCCATACACCCCCCCCCCCCACTGCCTTCGTAGGTGCTGATCAGGGCTCGATTCAGGCGTGGGGGGGCTTTAGGGGGCTGCAAGCCCAGGGGGTCTCCTCCAGCTTGAGCGGCCTCCAGAGATGAAGTGAAAACTGATTTCATTTGTGAATGCCGATTTTTTGTTGTTGTATTTGTTGTTAGCCTTGTAAAAAAAAAAATATACGATTGTATTATTCTTTAACTTTGTTTTGCTTTTGAAAATATTACCGGGGGTGGGGTGGGGTAGGGTGGGGTGGGGGGCTCACGGTACCCTGTAGCCCGGGGGGGGAGGGGGTGGGGGGCTACGAAATCTTAACCCGGCCTTGGTACTGCTACCCGCGAACGGCCCTGGCCCGATCCATCGATGGATGGTCTGCGAAGGCTACACGGGGGACCTTTGTCTCTGCGCGCAGGTGAAGCCGCTGCTGCAGGTGACTCGTCAGGAGGAGGAGCTGCAAGCTCGCGACGAGGAGCTGAAGATGACGCGCGAGAGGCAGCAGAGGGCAGAGGCCATGCTGCACGAGCTGGAGTCCAAACACGGCCAGGTGAGTGTGTACAGCTGTGTGTGTGTGTGTGTACAGGTCAGTGTGTACAGGTGTGTGTGTGTACAGGTGAGTGTGTGTACAGGTGTGTGTGTGTGTGTACAGGTGAGTGTGTGTACAGGTGTGAGTGTATGTGTCAGGTGAGTGTGTACAGGTGTGTGTGTGTGTGTGCGTGTCAGGTGAGTGTGTACAGGTGTGTGTGTCAGGTGAGTGTGTAGAGGTGTGTGTGTCAGGTCAGTGTGTACAGGTGTGAGTGTGTGTGTCAGGTGAGTGTGTACAGGTGTGTGTGTGTGTCAGGTGAGTGTGTACAGGTGTGTGTGTCAGGTGAGTGTGTACAGGTGTGTGTGTGTGTCAGGTGAGTGTGTACAGGTGTGTGTGTGTCAGGTGAGTGTGTACAGGTGTGTGTGTGTGTGTGTCAGGTGAGTGTGTACGGGTGTGTGTGTGTGTCAGGTGACTGTGTACAGGTGTGTGTGTGTGTCGGGTGAGTGTGTACAGGTGTGTTTGTGTGTCAGGTGAGTGTGTACAGGTGTGTGTGTGTCAGGTGAGTGTGTACAGGTGTGTGTGTGTGTGTGTACCAGGTGTGTGTGCACAAGTGTGTGTGTGTGTCAGGTGAGTGTGTACAGGTGTGTGTCAGGTGAGTGTGTACAGGCGTGTCTGTGTGTATGTGTCATGTCAATGTGTACAGGTGTGTGTGTGTGTGTCAGGTCAGTGTGTACAGGTGTGTGTGTGTCAGGTGTGTGTGTACAGGTGTGAGTGTGTGTACAGGTGAGTGTGTGTACAGGTGTGAGTGTATGTGTCAGGTGAGTGTGTACAGGTGTGTGTGTGTGTGTGCGTGTCAGGTGAGTGTGTACAGGTGTGTGTGTCAGGTGAGTGTGTAGAGGTGTGTGTGTCAGGTCAGTGTGTACAGGTGTGAGTGTGTGTGTCAGGTGAGTGTGTACAGGTGTGTGTGTGTGTCAGGTGAGTGTGTACAGGTGTGTGTGTCAGGTGAGTGTGTACAGGTGTGTGTGTGTGTCAGGTGAGTGTGTACAGGTGTGTGTGTGTCAGGTGAGTGTGTACAGGTGTGTGTGTGTGTGTGTCAGGTGAGTGTGTACGGGTGTGTGTGTGTGTCAGGTGACTGTGTACAGGTGTGTGTGTGTGTCAGGTGAGTGTGTACAGGTGTGTTTGTGTGTCAGGTGAGTGTGTACAGGTGTGTGTGTGTCAGGTGAGTGTGTACAGGTGTGTGTGTGTGTGTGTACCAGGTGTGTGTGCACAAGTGTGTGTGTGTGTGTCAGGTGAGTGTGTACAGGTGTGTGTCAGGTGAGTGTGTACAGGCGTGTCTGTGTGTATGTGTCATGTCAATGTGTACAGGTGTGTGTGTGTGTGTCAGGTCAGTGTGTACAGGTGTGTGTGTGTCAGGTGAGTGTGTACAGGTGTGTCTGTGTGTGTGTCAGGTGAGTGTGTACAGGTGTGTGTGTGTGTCAGGTGAGTGTGTACAGGTGTGTGTGTGTGTGTCAGGTGAGTGTGTACAGGTGTGTGTGTGTCAGGTGAGTGTGTACAGGTGTGTCTGTGTGTGTCAGGTCAGTGTGTACAGGTGTGTGTGTGTGTGGCAGGTGAGTGTGTACAGGTGTGTGTGTACAGGTGTGTGTGTACAGGTGTGTGTGTACAGGTGTGTGTGTGTCAGGTAAGTGTGTACAGGTGTGTGTGTGTGTGTCAGGTGAGTGTGTACAGGTGTGTGTGTGTGTCAGGTGAGTGTGTACAGGTGTGTGTGTGTGTGTGTCAGGTGAGTGTGTACAGGTGTGTGTGTGTGTGTGTGTGTCAGGTAAGTGTGTACAGGTGTGTGTGTGTGTGTGTGTCAGGTCAGTGTGTACAGGTGTGTCTGTGTGTGTCAGGTGAGTGTGTACAGGTGTGTGTGTGTGTCAGGTGAGTGTGTACAGGTGTGTCTGTGTGTGTCAGGTGAGTGTGTACAGGTGTGTGTGTGTGTGTGTCAGGTGAGTGTGTACAGGTGTGTGTGTGTGTGTCAGGTGAGTGTGTACAGGTGTGTGTGTGTGTGTGTGAACGCCTTAACCCTCCTATGCTCACCCGTGTGTCCGTCTGTCTCTCCCACGCTGCATGCATGCTCACGCGCGCACACACACGCGCGCACACATGTGTGCACACACACACGCACGAACACAAACATGCACACACGCGAACATTCACACACACATACACTCACACGTGCACACACGCTCCCTCACACACACCTACACACACACGCGCTCATACGCGCTCACTCATACACATACTCACACGCTCACACACGCTCACACACACACGCTCACACACACACGCACGCTCACACACACGCTCGCACGCACGCACGCTCACACACACACGCACGCTCACACACACACTCGCACACACGCTCACACACACTCGCACACACACGCACGCTCACACACACGCTCACACACATACACGCTCACACACACTCGCACACACCCGCACGCTCACACACACACTCACACACACACACACACACGCTCACACACACTCACACACACGCTCACACACACACACACGCTCACACACACACACGCTCACACACACACACACACGCTCACACACACACACGCTCACACACACACACTCGCTCACACACACACACACGCACGCGCTTCACCCCACAGCTGGTGGACGAGAAGCAGATCCTGGCGGAGCAGCTGCAGGCCGAGATCGAGCTGTGCGCCGAGGCGGAGGAGATGCGTGTCCGCCTCGAGGTGAAGCGTCAAGAGCTGGAGGAGATCCTTCACGAGCTGGAGGCGCGCGTCGAGGAGGAAGAGGAACGCTCCCAGACGCTGGCGCTCGACAAGAAGAAGATGCAGCAGCATCTCCAGGTGCCGAAGACGTTACCTGTAGACCCCTTAGCGGCGCCCCCCACCCCCCCCCCACCCCCCCCCCCCCCCACCCCCCCCACCACAACGTCCCAACTTTGTTACAGGTGGATTCAGATCTGATTTGGTCACCCACCCACTCCATGCCACCCCCGTGCCCCTTATGAATCTCAACGTTCATCCTGCAAAGTCCCACCACAAGGGAGGAACACGCACCAACCCCGACATATCGATGAGATGTTGTGATGACGGTGATATTGATGGGATGTTGTGGTGGTGATGATGACAATGATCCTATGGTGGTGATGATAATGATGATGAGATGTTGTGATGATGCTGAGGATGACAACAATAATGATATTGTGCTTTGGTGATAATGATGATGATGATGACAATGGTGGTGGTGGTGGTGATGATGATGAGATGTGATGATGCTGATGATGACGACGATAATGATGTTGTGCTTTGGTGATGATGATGACGATAATGATGATATCGTGGTGGTGGTGGTGGTGGTGATGATGAGATGTTGTGATGATGCTGATGATGACGACGATAATAATATTGTGCTTTGGTGATGATGATGACAATGATGCTGTCGTGGTTGTGGTGGTGGTGATGATGAGATGTTGTGATGACGACGACGATCACGCGGCACCCCCCCCCCCCCCCCCACAGGACCTGGAGGACCAGCTGGACGAGGAGGAGACGGCGCGCCAGAAGCTGCAGCTGGAGAAGGTGACAGCGGAGTCCAAGATCAAGAAGATGGAGGAGGACCTCATCATGCTCGATGACCAGCACAGCAAGCTGGGCAAGGTCAGAGGTCGACGCTGACCCGACCATCACGATGATGACTCCTTAGCTGCTGCCTGCCGCCGCTGAAGTCGACGACGACGATTACGATGATTGATGATGTTGATGATGATGATGTTGATGATGATGATGGAGAGTTGCGCTGATGCTGTGAATGGTGCTGACGGTGCTGCTAAGGCTGCTGATGGCACCCATGACGGCGCCGGTGCGTGTACTGTGCGCTGAACTTCTTTGGCGCCGTACGTCGCCGACCGTGCTGGTCGGAGGCGCGGGGGAAAGACAACAGTGACGTGACTGGTGACGACACTGGTGACGACGATGATGACGTTGATGACGATGGTGACGACGTTGATGACGACGATGGTGCGTGTGCCACTGGTGACAACGACGATGATGATGATGATGACGTTGATGACGAAGGTGCGGGTGACACTGATGACGACGATGATGACGACGACGATGACGTTGATGACGAAGGTGCGGGTGACACTGGTGACGACGACGATGACGACGACGATGACGTTGCTGACGATGGTGCGGGTGACACTGGTGACGACGATGATGATGATGATGACGTTGAAGACGAAGGTGCGGGTGACACTGATGACGACGATGATGACGAAGATGATGACGACGACGATGACGTTGATGACGAAGGTGCAGGTGACGCTGGTGACGATGACGATGACGACGACGATGACGTTGCTGACGATGGTGCGGGTGACACTGGTGACGACGATGATGACGAGGACGATGACGTTGATGACGTTGGTGTGGGTTACACTGGTGACGACGATGATGACGACGACGAAGTCGTTCATGACGATGGTGCGGGTGACACTGGTGACGACGACGATGATGACGACGATGATGACGATGGTGTGGATGACACTGGTGACGACGATGATGATGACGACGATGGTGTGGATGGCACTGGTGACGAGGATGATGATGACGACGTTGATGACGTTGGTGGGGATGACACTGGTGACGACGATGATGATGACGACGATGATGACGATGGTGTGGATGACACTGGTGATGACGATGATGATGACGACGATGATGACGATGGTGTGGATGACACTGGTGACGACGACGATGACGACGACGATGACGTTGCTGTGGATGACACTGGTGACGATGATGATGACGACGACGATGACGTTGCTGTGGATGACACTGGTGACGACGATGATGACGACGACGATGACGTTGCTGTGGATGACACTGGTGACGACGACGATGACGACGACGATGATGACGACGGTTGCCATTGACGCTGCCGCTGACACCGACGAGGAGGACGATGCTGGCGATGGCGACGCTGACGTCACTCATGGTCGCTCTTCGCCGTCGCCCGCAGGAGAAGAAGCAGCTAGAGGAGCGCGTGGCCGAGTTCACCTCTCACCTGGCCGAAGAGGAGGAGAAGGTGAAGTCTCTGAGCAAGGTGAAGGCCAAGCAGGACGCCATCATCGCCGACATGGAGGGTGAGCGCCTCTGACTCTCCCCACGCATCGGGGGGGGGGGGGGGCAGAGGGTGGCGGCGGTGACACCCTGCGGGGGGGGGGGGGGCAGAGGGTGGTGGAGGGCAATAAGCGGCTGGTTCATCGACAAGATTAACTCTCAATCCTTTTTATCTTTTTCTTCTCTCTCCATATCTCTCTCTGTCTCTCTCTCTCTTCTCATCTCTCTCTCTCCCTGTCTCTCTCCATATCTCTCTCCATCCTCTCTCTCTCTCTTAATATCTCTCTCCGTCCACTCTCTCTCCATCTATCTCTATGTCTCTGTCACTCTCTCCTCATCTCTGTCTCTCTCCATATCTCACTCTCCATCCTCTCTCTCTCTCTCCATATCTATCTCCTCTCTCTATCTCTGTCCACTCTCTCTCCATTTCTCTGTCTCTCTCTATGTCTCTCTCACTCTCTCCTCATCTCTGTCTCTCTCCATCCTCTCTCTCTCTCTCCATATCTCTCTCCTCTCTCTATCTCTGTCCACTCTCTCTCTCCATCTCTCTCTCTCTCTATGTCTCTCTCACTCTCTCCCCATCTCTCCGTGTCTCTCTCTCTCTCCTCATCTTTCTCTCTGTCTCTCTCCATCTCTCTCCATATCTCTCTCCATCCTCTCTCTCCCCATCTCGCTCTCTCTCTCTATGTCTCTTTCACTCTCTCCTCATCTCTGTCTCTCTCCATATATCTCTCCTCTCTCTATCTCTGTCCACTCTCTCTCCATCTCTCTCTCTGTCTCTCTCACTCTCTCCCCATCTCTCCGTGTCTCTCTCTCTCTCTCTCACTCCGCTCGCAGACCGGCTCAAGGACGAGGAGAAGTCGCGGCAGGAGCTGGAGAAGTCCAAGCGGAAGCTGGAGGCCGAAGGCTCCGACCTGCAGGACCACATCGCTGAGCTGCAGCGGCAAATCGAGGACCTCAAAGCTCAGCTCGCCAAGAAAGAGCACGAACTGCAGGCGGCCACCACCAGGTACGGAGTGGCCTAGAAGATGTTCACTACCTCGCCTGGTATGCAGGAGGTCGTGGGTTCAATCCACGTCCCTTACTTACACCTGCAACTAAGTTACTTGCACCTGCAGCTAACTTGTAAACTGCACCGTCTGCTGCGTTGCTTAGTTCTGTTATCACACTCGACATCGTCACCGTCATGATCATTATGTTAATCGTCATCATTGTCATCAATATCATCATCATTATTATCATCATCACCACCATCATCACCACCACCATCAACACCACCACCACCGTCATCATTATCATCACCATCATCATCACCATCCTTGTCATCAACATCACTATCTGCATTATTGTCACCATCACTTATTATCACCGTCATCATCGTCACCATCACTGTAATCACTATTGTCATCACCACCATCGTCATCATCATTGTCATCACTATCATCATCACCATCGTCATCACTATCATCATCACTATCATCATCACCACCACCATCGTCATCACTATCATCATCATTGTCATCACTATCATTATCACCACCACCATCGTCATCATCATTGTCATCACTATCATCATCCCCTCGTCATCATCATTGTCATGACTATCATCATCACCACCACCACCATCGTCATCACTATCATCATTGTCATCACTATCATTATCACCACCACCATCGTCATCATCATTGTCATGACTATCATCATCACCACCACCACCACCACCATCGTCATCACTACCACCACCATCGTCATCACTATCATCATCATTGCCATCACTACCACCACCACCACCACCAACCATCGTCATCACTATCATCATCATCATCATCGTCATCACTACCACCACCATCGTCACCACCACCACCATCGTCATCACTATCATCACCACCACCATCATTATCATCACTATCATCACTATCGTCATCACCACCAACCATCGTCATCACTATCATCACTATCATCACCACCACCACCAACCATCGTCATCACTATCATCATCATCATCACCACCACCATCGTCATCACTATCATCATCATTGTCATCACTATCATCACCACCACCACCATCGTCATCACTACCATCATCATCATCACCACCACCACCACCATTGTCATCACTATCATCACTATCGTCATCACCACCAACCATCGTCATCACTATCATCACTATCATCACCACCACCAACCATCGTCATCACTATCATCATCATCATTGTCATCACTATCACCACCACCACCATCGTCATCACTATCATCATCATCATCGTCATCACTACCACCATCATCATCATCACCACCACCACCACCATCGTCATCACCACCACCATCGTCATCACTACCATCATCGTCATCATCACTATCATCACCGTCATCACTACCACCATCGTCATCATCATCACTATCATCATCATCGTCACCACCGCCACCATCGTCATCACCACCACCACCATCGTCATCACTATCATCGTCATCACCACCACCACCACCATCGTCACCGTCCCCGTCGTCGCGCCCGTCGTCCGACTCACCATCCCGCGACCGCCGCGGCCGCTAGGGGCGACGACGAGGCGGCACAGAAGACCAACGCGTTGAAGCTGGTGCGGGAGCTGCAGGCCCAGCTGGCCGAGCTGCAGGAGGACCTGGAGGCGGAACGGGCGGCGCGGGCCAAGGTGGAGAAGCTCAAGAGGGACCTGGGCGAGGAGCTGGAGGCCCTCAAGACGGAGTTGGAGGACACCTTGGACACCACCGCGGCCCAGCAGGAACTCAGGTGCGCCGCTGGACGCTTGCCCGTCTCGCGCTGCTCGTGACGGACGGCTGACCGTCGATTGTCCTGACCCGGCAAAAGGCAACATTCGCGACTCCCAGGAATTCACGTTACCGGTTCTATCGGTGAAGTCGCGTAGGTAGAAAGTAACATTTTTTTAAAAAAAATTGCTATTAAGTTAAAATTTAAGATAAATTGAAAATAATAAAAGCTTCGATTTAAAGATTTCGTGACTGCAAGGATTCATCTTCTTTGGTTCTTTCGGTAAAGTCACCACCACGTAGAATGAGAATAAAATAATAAATTGATCATTGTGTTATTTTATTTTATCAATTTATTATTTTATTCTCATTCTACGTGGTGGTGACTTTACCGAAAGAACCAAAGAAGATAATAAAAGCTACAAAAATTAATTGGAAAGAATGAAAGCAAAAAAATCTATTGGAAATTATTTTTATTAATTTATTTTCAATGTGCTTGCCCTAAGGCCACATAAACAACCTCTTGTTGTTGTCACAGCTTTCTCGCTGGTTCACCAGTTCCACTGCTGGTTTATTTTTTTTTCCCGCCTGAGGACGACCTCTCGTGTTGCGATCGAAACGTCGTGATTTCTTTTATTTTTTGTTTAATTTTATTTTTCTTGCCTACGTATGGATTCCTGCATTCACGAAAGCTTCAAATCAAGATTGTTTTCAATTTATTCTCAATTAAATTGTATTTTTCTGCCTACGTATGGATTCCTGCATTCACGAAAGCTTCAAATCAAGATTGTTTTCAATTTATTCTCAATTAAATTTTATTTTTCTGCCTACGGATGGATTCCTGCATTCACGAAAGCTTCAAATCAAGATTGTTTTCAATTTATTCTCAATTAAATTGTATTTTTTCTGCCTACGTATGGATTCCTGCATTCACGAAAGCTTCAAATCAAGATTGTTTTCAATTTATTCTTAATAAAAAAAAATCTATCTACGTGACTTTACCGAAAGAACAAATAATATATATGGGGCCGTCCATGAATGACGTCATGCACCTGGGGGGGGGGGGTCAGACATTTGTGACGATGTGTGACGATAGGGGGGGGAGGGGTTAAGAAATGTGACGTCACATCAAAATGCGCAACTTTAAATACATATGTAATCGTTATAACAATACTAATTGTATTATAACAACACTACCTACAACATCAGAGTGCAGCGCCACATTAAATACGCACTACAATGACAACAATAGTTTGAAGCGACTTGAAGCATGTTTTATTTTCAAAATGGAAATATGGTTTTGGGGGGGGGAGGAGTGGGGGGGGGGCAGAGCTTTGTGACGTCATACTTGGGGGGGAGGTGTCTGACTTTTTGTGACGCCGTGTGACGATGCGTGGGGGTGGGGGGGGGTCCAAAATCGCGTGACGTCATTTCCGGACGGCCGCTATGTCCGTCGATTATCCGGCCGCTCCCCACGTTGTCCGGTGACACCCCCACGGCCGATCCGGCGAAACCGCAGCGATCCGATACAGCAGTGCGCTAGCGTGTGACGCAAGAAGTGTCGATGCTTGATTCCAGCGTTCAATGTTGTACGCGCGGTACGTTATACACCACGCGCAACTTCAACAATGCAATATGCTGCACGCGTACATATATACACACACACATCACCTCGTAGTGCGGTCTTCGAGATTGGGAGTGGTAAGTGCAGTACAATAAACACGGCAACTTTATTAAAGCAGCATATTTATTTTTTTGTCTGTGTGTGTTTATGCCAATTTTATACAGCAAACAAGTTTGAAACACAGGAAAAACCGTGTACACCTAAAGACATAACGTCATAGAAGAATGTGAAAAAATAAGCCATTTTAAATAATGATAATGTAGCGATTATCTGGCGTTTTTGAAAATCCGGCACCCCCTTCCACCCCCGAAGCCACTGGATAATCGATGATCGACTGTAGTACAGATAATTGTGGGTCTCTGTGTGAGTCTATGGGTCTCTGTGTGAGTCTATGGGTCTCTGTGTAAGTCTATGGGTCTCTGTGTGAGTCTATGGCTCTCTGTGTGAGCCTACGGGTCTCTGTGTGAGTCTACGAGTCTCTGTGTGAGTCTGTGGGTCTCTGTGTGAGTCTATGGGTCTCTGTGCGAGTCTATGGGTCTCTGTGTGAGCCTACGGGTCTCTGTGTGAGTCTACGGGTCTCTGTGTGAGTCTACGAGTCTCTGTGTGAGTCTGTGGGTCTCTGTGTGAGTGTATGGGTCTCTGTGTGAGTCTACGAGTCTCTGTGTGCGTCTGTGGGCCTCTGTGTGAGTCTATGGGTCTCTGTATGAGTCTATGGGTCTCTGTGCGAGTCTGTGGGTCTCTGTGTGAGCCTACGGGTCTCTGTGTGAGTCTACGGGTCTCTGTGTGAGTCTACGAGGCTCTGTGTGCGTCTGTGGGTCTCTGTGAGAGTTTATGATTCTCTGTGTGAGTCTGTGGGTCTATGCGTGTGTCTACGAGTCTCTGTGCGAGTCTATGGGTCTCTGTGTGAGTCTATGGGTCTGTGTGAGTCTGTGGGTCTCTGTGTGCATCTGTGGGTCTCTGTGTGAGTTTATGGGTCTCTGTGCGAGTCTGTGGGTCTATGCGTGTGTCTACGAGTCTCTGTGTGAGTCTATGGGTCTCTGTGTGAGTCTATGGGTCTCTGCGTGAGTCTATGGGTCTCTGTGTGAGTCTGTGGGTCTATGCGTGTGTCTACGAGTCTCTGTGTGAGTTCATGGGGCTCTGCGTGAGTCTATGGGTCTCTGCGAGTCTACGAGTCTCTGTGTGAGTCTATGGGTCTCTGCGTAAGTCTATGGGTCTCTGCGTGAGTCTATGGGTCTCTGTGCGAGTCTATGGGTCTCTGTGTGAGTCTACGATTCTCTGTGTGAGCCTATTGCACTCTGCGAGTCACCGATCCCCAAAAACCACACTCGGCATTCTGGGTAACACATCCGCTCCCCCCTTCCGATTGCCCGCCCCCCCCCCCCCCCCACTTCTCCGGGCAGGGCGAAGCGCGAGCACGAGGTGGCGGAACTGCGGCGAGCGCTGGAGGAGGAGGTGCGGTCTCACGAGTCGCAAGTCCAGGAGATGCGCAAGCGACACACGCAGACGCTGGAGGAGATGACCGAGACGCTGGAGAGCGTCAAGAGGGTCAGCGCCACCGCGGAGACGCCGCCACCCACCGCGGAGACACCGGCACCCACCACCCAACACCGCCCAACACCGCCACCCAACACTGCCACCCACCACCCAACACCGCCACCCACCGCGGAGACACCGCCACCCACCACGGAGACACCGCCACCCACCACCCAACACCGCCACCCACCGCCCAACACCGCCACCCACCACCCAACACCGCCACCCAAAACCGCCACCCACCACCCAACACCGCCACCCACCCCTCAACACCGCCACCCACCCCTCAATACCGCCACCCACCACCCAACACCGCCACCCACCACCCAACACCGCCACCCACCACCCAACACCACCACCCACCACTCAACACCGCCACCCACCCCTCAACACCGCCACCCACCGCCCAACACCGCCACCCACCACCCAACACCGCCACCCACCGCCCAACACCGCCACCCACCGCCAAACACCGCCACCCACCGCCCAACACCGCCACCCACCACCCAACAAACCGCGCCCTTTCGGCCTCCCGCGTCCGTCCCGAACGAGTCAATCCGCGTGTCGCGTCTCCGCCTTGCCCTCCTGCGCCCCCCCCACCTCCGCCGACCTCCGTGACCTCCGCCCTCCCGCCCCCCCAGGCCAAGGTGACCCTGGAGAAGACGAAGCAGGGCCTGGAGGTGGAGAAGCAGGAGCTGCTGCACGAGGTGAAGGGCCTGCAGGCGGCGCGCTCCGACCTGGAGCACCGGCGTAAGAAGCTGGAGACGCAGCTGCAGGAGGCGACCGGCAAGCACGTGGAGACGGAGCGCGAGCGCCTGGAGCTGGTGGAGCGCTCCTCCCGCCTCCAGGTGACCCACGCGGAGTTACACAGAGGCCCATGGAGTTCCCATGGCGTTGCATAGAGACCCATAGGGTTGCATAGAGACCCGTGGCGTCGAATAGAGACCTATAGAGTTTATGGAGGCCCACTGAGGTACATGGAGGCCCACGGATTTGCATAGAGACCCACCCGATTGCATAGAGACTCGTGGAGTTGCGTAGAGACCCATGGAGTTACACAGAGTAGCCATAGAGTTACACAGAGTAGCCATAGAGTTACACAGAGTACTCATAGAGTTACACAGAGTAGCCATAAAGTTACACAGAGTACCCATAGAGTTACACAGAGTACCCATAGAGTTACACAGAGTACCCATAGAGTTACACAGAGTACCCATAGAGTTACACAGAGTACCCACAGAGTTACATAGAGTACCCATAGAGTTACACAGAGTACCCATAGAGTTACACAGAGTACCCATAGAGTTACACAGAGCACCCATAGAGTTACACAGAGTACCCATAGAGTTACACAGAGCACCCATAGAGTTACACAGAGTACCCATAGAGTTACACAGAGTACCCATAGAGTTACACAGAGTACCCACAGAGTTACACAGAGTACCCATAGAGTTACACAGAGTACCCATAGAGTTACACAGAGTAGCCATAGAGTTACACAGAGTACTCATAGAGTTACACAGAGTAGCCATAGAGTTACACAGAGTAGCCATAGAGTTACACAGAGTAGCCATAGAGTTACACAGAGTAGCCATAGAGTTACACAGAGTAGCCATAGAGTTACACAGAGTACCCACAGAGTTACATAGAGTACCCATAGAGTTACACAGAGTAGCCATAGAGTTACACAGAGTACTCATAGAGTTACACAGAGTAGCCATAGAGTTACACAGAGTAGCCATAGAGTTACACAGAGTAGCCATAGAGTTACACAGAGTAGCCATAGAGTTACACAGAGTAGCCATAGAGTTACACAGAGTACCCATAGTGTTAACAGAGTACCCATAGAGTTACACAGAGTACCCATATAGTTACACAGAGTACCCATAGAGTTACACAGAGTAGCCATAGAGTTACACAGAGTACCCATAGAGTTACACAGAGTAGCCATAGAGTTACACAGAGTACCCATAGAGTTACACAGAGTAGTCATAGAGTTACACAGAGCACCCATAGAGTTACACAGAGTACCCATAGAGTTACACAGAGTACCCATAGAGTTACACAGAGTACCCATAGAGTTACACAGAGTACCCATAGAGTTAACAGAGTACCCATAGAGTTACACAGAGTACCCATATAGTTACACAGAGTACCCATAGAGTTACACAGAGTAGCCATAGAGTTACACAGAGTACCCATAGAGTTACACAGAGTACCCATAGAGTTACACAGAGTACCCATAGAGTTACACAGAGTACCCATAGAGTTACACAGAGTACCCACAGAGTTACATAGAGTACCCATAGAGTTACACAGAGTAGCCATAGAGTTACACAGAGTACCCATAGAGTTACACAGAGTATCCATAGAGTTACACAGAGTACCCATAGAGTTACAAAGAGTACCCATAGAGTTACACAGAGTACCCATAGAGTTACACAGAGTACCCATAGAGTTACACAGAGTACCCATAGAGTTAAACAGAGCACCCATAGAGTTACACAGAGTACCCATAGAGTTACACAGAGTACCCATAGAGTTACACAGAGTAGTCATAGAGTTACACAGAGTACCCATAGAGTTACACAGAGTACCCATAGAGTTACACAGAGCACCCATAGAGTTACACAGAGTACCCATAGAGTTACACAGAGTACCCATAGAGTTACACAGAGTACCCATAGAGTTACACAGAGTACCCATAGCGTTACACAGAGTACCCATAGCGTTACACAGAGTACCCATAGAGTTACACAGAGCACCCATAGAGTTACACAGAGTACCCATAGAGTTACACAGAGTACCCATAGAGTTACACAGAGTACCCATAGAGTTACATAGAGTAGCCATAGAGTTACACAGAGTACCCATAGAGTTACACAGATTACCCATAGAGTTACACAGAGTACCCATAGAGTTACACAGAGTACCCATAGAGTTACACAGAGTACCCATAGAGTTACACAGAGTACCCATAGAGTTACACAGAGTACCCACAGAGTTACACAGAGTACCCATAGAGTTACACAGAGTACCCATAGAGTTACACAGAGTAGCCATAGAGTTACACAGAGTACCCATAGAGTTACACAGAGTACCCATAGAGTTACACAGAGTACCCATAGAGTTACACAGAGTACCCATAGAGTTACACAGAGTAGCCATAGAGTTACACAGAGTACCCATAGAGTTACACAGAGTACCCATAGAGTTACACAGAGTACCCATACAGTTACACAGAGTAGCCATAGAGTTACACAGAGTACCCACAGAGTTACAGAGAGTACCCATAGAGTTACACAGAGTAGCCATAGAGTTGCACAGAGTACCCACCGAGTATCCATAGAGTTACACAGAGTACCCATAGAGTTACACAGAGTACCCATAGAGTTACACATAGTACCCACGGAGTTACACAGAGTACCCATAGAGTTACACAGAGTACCCATAGAGTTACACAGAGTACCCATGGAGTTACACAGAGTAGTCATAGAGTTACACAGAGCACCCATAGAGTTAACAGAGTACCCATATAGTTACACAGAGTACCCATAGAGTTACACAGAGTACCCATACAGTTACACAGAGTAGCCATAGAGTTACACAGAGTACCCATAGAGTTACACAGAGTACCCATAGAGTTACACAGAGTACCCATAGAGTTACACAGAGTACCCATAGAGTTACACAGAGTACCCATAGAGTTACACAGAGACCCATAGAGTTACACAGAGTACTCATAGAGTTACACAGAGTACCCATAGAGTTACTCAGAGTACCCATAGAGTTACACAGAGTACCCATACAGTTACACAGAGTACCCATAGAGTTACACAGAGTAGCCATAGAGTTACACAGAGTACCCATAGAGTTACACAGAGTACCCATAGAGTTACACAGAGACCCATAGAGTTACACAGAGTACTCATAGAGTTACACAGAGTACCCATAGAGTTACTCAGAGTACCCATAGAGTTACACAGAGTACCCATACAGTTACACAGAGTACCCATAGAGTTACACAGAGTAGCCATAGAGTTACACAGAGTACCCATAGAGTTACACAGAGTAGCCATAGAGTTACACAGAGTACCCATAGAGTTACACAGAGTACCCATAGAGTTACACAGAGTACCCATAGAGTTACACAGAGTACCCATACAGTTACACAGAGTAGCCATAGAGTTACACAGAGTACCCACAGAGTTACAGAGAGTACCCATAGAGTTACACAGAGTAGCCATAGAGTTGCACAGAGTACCCACCGAGTATCCATAGAGTTACACAGAGTACCCATAGAGTTACACAGAGTACCCATAGAGTTACACAGAGTACCCATGGAGTTACACAGAGTACCCACAGAGTTACACAGAGTACCCATAGAGTTACACAGAGTACCCATGGAGTTACACAGAGTACCCATAGAGTTACACAGAGTACCCATAGAGTTACACAGAGTAGCCATAGAGTTACACAGATTAGCCATAGAGTTATACAGAGTACCCACAGAGTTACACAGAGTACCCACAGAGTTACACAGAGTATCCATAGAGTTACACAGAGTGTCCACACAGTTACACAGAGTACCCATAGAGTTACACAGAGTAGCCATAGAGTTACACAGAGTACCCATAGAGTTACACAGAGTACCCACAGAGTATCCATAGAGTTACACAGAGTACCCACAGAGTTACACAGAGTACCCATAGAGTTACATAGAGTACCCATAGAGTTACACAGAGTACCCATAGAGTTACACAGAGTACCCATAGAGTTACACAGAGTACCCATAGAGTTACACAGAGTACCCATAGAGTTACACAGAGTACCCATAGAGTTACACAGAGCACCCATAGAGTTACACAGAGTACCCATAGAGTTACAGAGAGTACCCATAGAGTTAACAGAGTACCCATAGAGTTAACAGAGTACCCATAGAGTTAACAGAGTACCCATAGAGTTACACAGAGTACCCATAGAGTTACACAGAGACCCATAGAGTTACACAGAGTACCATAGAGTTACACAGAGCACCCATAGAGTTACACAGAGTACCCATAGAGTTAACAGAGTACCCATAGAGTTAACAGAGTACCCATAGAGTTACACAGAGTACCCATAGAGTTACACAGAGACCCATAGAGTTACACAGAGTACCCATAGAGTTACACATAGTACCCATAGAGTTACACAGAGACCCATCGACCACAGTCCAAAATCTTGGGTAGTGGCTCAATCAGCAGCATATCACCGCATGGTGGCCATGTGCAAGGGTATCCGTACGTGGTTGTACCTCTCTTGACCTACTGACCTCCCCACCCTGACCCCCATGACCCCCCCCCCACCACCACCCCCCGGCGCCCCTCCCCCGTGCCGACGCTGATAGGTGGAGCTGGACAACGTGACGTCCATCCTGACGCAGACAGAGACCAAGGTGCTCAAGCTGTCCAAGGACGTGGCGAGCGTGCAGACGCAGCTACAGGACGCCCAGGTGGGCGGGGGGCGTCCGGTCCCAGCGTGCACAGCACGCACACACACACGCACGCACACACACACGCCTGCACGCACGCACGCACACACACACACGCACACACACACACGCACGCACACACACACGCCTGCACGCACGCACGCACACACACACACACACGCACACACACACACACACGCACGCACACACACACGCCTGCACGCACGCACGCACACACACACACACGCACACACACACACGCATGCACACACGAGCGTGCACAGCACACACACACACGCACACACACACGAGCGTGCACAACACACGCACACATGCACACAAAGATCCCCCATATAGCCTGTAACAGACTGTAGGGGCAAGTGCTGTTAGCGAGCACCTATGAAGGCCGGAACGGTACACGAGGGGGTGGGTGGCCAGCACCACGCCCGACCGCCTTTGTCTTCCTAGTGGCAATGTTTACACACCGCACCAGGTACTCATTTGAGGCTGAGTCGACCTAGGGGAGGCCCGGGACCGGTTCAGATAATCGTCACTGGTGTTGGCCGTGAGCGGGAATCGAACCCGGGTCGCCAGGTTCATAGCGCAGCGCGCTAACCGCTACACTACCGCTCCCCACAACACACACACACACACAAGCGTGCACAACACATGCACACACACACACATGCACACATACACACACGCACACACACGCACGCACGCACGCACACACGCACGTGCACGACACACACGTGCACGACACGAGCATTCGCGGCACGCACGCGCGAGCGTGTCCAGGAGGTCGTGGGTTCCATCCCGATCCTGACGATGGCGGAATATTTGGAGTTTGCGGTGTCTCTCTCCCCGTGGTGGCGCGGATTTATTTATTTATCTATCTTCCCCTCCGCGTCCTCCGGCTGTATTTGGCTGCCGCCGTGAATGTCCACGCGACGATGAAATAATGCCGCCTCGTTGAGCCACCGTTCGTGATGGGCGGGTCGCTTCTGATAAAAGAGCTATGCGGCTAAGCGGGCCTTACCTGGACGAAAATACACACATATAGATTTTAAAAGATGAATAACAAACTGTACAAAAATATATTGAAATATAATAATAGAAGCAGCGAGATTCGTTGACGCATCGTGAGATCGCGGGACGTGGCGACGGGCCGTAGTCGCTATCATCCAGCAGCCGATAGGCAGGAACAAAAATGTAAAAATAGATTTAAAAAAAAACAAAGAACGAAGTATTAAAAAAAAACATTGACGCAGAATTCAAGGAGCGAGATTCGTTGACGCATCGTGAGACCGCGCCATAGCCGCTATCATCCAGCAGCGGATAGACGTCAGACGGGCTGACCGTCTGACGTCGAGATCCGCCGTGCTCGCGGGGCGCAGGAGCTGCTGCAGGAGGAGACGCGGCAGAAGCTGCAGATGAGCACCAAGGCGCGCCAGCTGGAGGAGGAGAAGGCCGGGCTGGCCGAGCAGCTGGAGGACGAGGAGGAGGCGCGCAGAGCCACGGAGAAGCAGCTCTCCTCCATCACGCTGCAGGTGGGCGCCCGGCCGGAGCAATCGGGGGGAGAGAGGGGGGGGGGGGGGTTCAACCTGGGCAGGCCACGGGTCACTGGCTCAGTGCACTGATGCATGGGGACACCTGGGTCAGAGATTGAACTTAGAGTGTTATAGTCACAGGCTCAATGCACTGATACATGGGGACACCTGGGTCAGAGATTGAACTTAGAGTGTTATAGTCACCTGCTCAGAGCACTGATGCATGTGGACACCTGGGTCAGAGATTGAACTTAGAGTGTTGCAGTCAACGGCTCAGTGCACTGATGCATGGGAACACCTGGATCAGAGATTGAACTTAGAGTGTTGCAGTCACAGGCTCGGTGCACTGATGCATGGGGACACCTGGGTCAGAGATTGAACTTAAAGTGTTATAGTGACCTGCTCAGAGCACTGATGCATGTGGACACCTGGGTCAGAGATTGAACTTAGAGTGTTATAGTCACCTGCTCAGAGCACTGATGCATGGGGACACCTGGGTCAGAGATTGAACTTAGAGTGTTATAGTCACCACCTCAGAGCACAGATACATGAGGACACCTGGGTCAGAGATTGAACTTAGAGTGTTATAGTCACCGGCTCAGTGCACTGATGCATGTGGACACCTGGGTCAGAGATTGAACTTAGAGTGTTATAGTCACAGGCTCAGAGCACTGATGCATGTGGACACCTGGGTCAGAGATTGAACTTAGAGTGTTATAGTCACCGGCTCAGTGCACTGATACATGGGGACACCTGGGTCAGAGATTGAACTTATGTTGTTGCAGTCACAGGCTCAGTGCACTGATGCATGGGGACACCTGGGTCAGAGATTGAACTTAGAGTGTTGCAGTCACAGGCTCAGTGCACTGATGCATTGGGACACCTGGGTCAGAGATTGAACTTAGAGTTTTCGTGTCTCTGGCTCAGAGTCAGTACATGAGACACCGAGGACCAGGGATCGAACTTGGATTTAAACCACTCCTAGCACATTGGACACCTGCGCTAGGATTAGAACTTGCTCTGATCTGGACCGGTCCTGGGCCTCACCTTGGTCGACTCGGCCTCAAATGAGTAGCCGGTGCGGTGTTTGCAAGGACTTGCCCCAAAAATCTGTCAGGGCTATACGGGGGGGGGTCTTTGTCTTTGTGAGTACGTGAGTGCGAGAGCGCTGGTGTAGCGGTTAGCACAATGCACTTCGAAAACGGCAACCCGAGTTCGACTCCAGCTCACGGCCAGCACCGGCGACGGTCATCAGTACCGGTGCTGGACCTCAACCTAGGTCGACTCGGCCTCGAGCGAGCAGCCGCTACTCCCCACAGCGGCACTTGCCCCAACGAGTCTGCGAAGGCTACTCGGTGTCGGGGTGAGCCGGCCAGTGGTTGCGAGTGGTTTTGCTCGGGGTGGGGGATTTTAGTCAGCACCTTCACCTTTGCCTTCGCCTGTCAGCTGTCGGACTCGAAGCGTCGGCTGGAGGAGGCCGGCGCGGCCCAGGAGACGCTCGAGGAGTCGAGGCGCAAGCTGGCCAAGGAGGTGGAGGTGCTGACGCAGAGCCTGGAGGAGAGGACGGCGGCCTGCGACAAGTCGGACAAGACGCGCAACCGCCTGCAGCAGGAGCTCGAGGACGTCCTCATGGACCTGGACCACCAGCGGCAGGTGGTGGCCACGCTGGAGAAGAAGCAGAAGAAGTTCGACCAGGTGGGTCGCGCGCACACGCTCAGGCGTCGACGAGGTGTGCGGCGGTGGTGGAGGTGGTGGTGGTGGTGGTGATGGTGGCGGTGGCGGCGGTGGTGGTGGTGGCGGTGGTGGTGGTGGTGGTCGTGGTGGTGGTGATAGTGGTGGTGGTGGTGATGGTGGTGGTGCAATGGATGGTGGTTGGTGGTGGTAGTGGTGATGATCGTGATGGTGGTGATGATGGTGGTGGTGGTGATGGTGGTCGTGATGGTGGTGATGATGGTGGTGGTGGTGGTGATGGCGGTGATGGCGGTGATGGTGGTGCAATGGATGGTGGTTGGTGGTGGTAGTGGTGATAATCGTGATGGTGGTGATGATGGTGGTGATGATGGTGGTGTTGGTGGTGATGGCGGTGATGGCAGTGATGGTGGTGCAATGGATGGTGGTTGGTGGTGGTAGTGGTGATGATCGTGATGGTGGTGATGATGGTGGTGGTGGTGATGGTGGTGGTTGGTGGTGGTAGTGGTGATGATCGTGATGGTGGTGATGATGGTGGTGGTGGTGATGGTGGTGGTTGGTGGTGGTAGTGGTGATGATCGTGATGGTGGTGATGATGGTGGTGGTGGTGGTGGTGATGGCGGTGATGGTGGTGCAATAGATGATGGTGATGGTAGTGGTGCTGATGATGGTGGTGGTGATGATTCTGATGGTGATGATGATGGTGATTTTTTATTTAAAGCTTTCGTGACTGCAGCGATTCATATTCTTGGTTCTTTCGGTAAAGTCACCACGTAGAAGGGAAACAATAAAATACTAAAAATATATAAAACAATAACATTCTCACGACGTTTCGACTACAAAACAAGCAGTCATCATCAGGTGTGAAAACCAACGGCAAGAATATTGCCGTGGGTTTATATATATTATTATTTTATTGTTTCCCTTCAAAGTAACTTTACCGAAAGAACCAAGATGATGGTGACGTTAGTGGTGGTGGTGATGATGATAGTGGAGGTGATGAACGTGATGATGATGATGGTGGTGATGATGATGATGATGATGGTGGAGGTGATGAACGTGATGGTGATGATGATGGTGATGTTAGTGTTGGTGGTGTTGGTGGTGGTGATGATGGTGGAAGTGATGAACGTGATGGTGATGATGGTGGTGATGATGATGATGATGGTGGAGGTGATGAACGTGATGGTGATGATGATGATGGTGATGTTAGTGGTGGTGGTGGTGATGATGATGATGGTGGAGGTGATGAACGTGATGATGATGATGGTGGTGATGATGATGATGGTGATGAACATGATGATGATGATGGTGGTGATGATGATGATGGTGGAGGTGATGAACGTGATGGTGATGATGATGGTGATGTTAGTGGTGGTGGTGGTGATGATGATGGTGGTGATGATGATGATGATGGTGGAGGTGATGAACGTGACGATGATGATGACGATGATGATGGTGGTGGTGGTGACGGTGGTGCAATTGACGCCGACCTCCACGAATCGATCGATCGGTGGTTGGCGCGCAGCTGACGACGCCAATAATCGCGAACTGATGCTCGCTGCCTCCACCCCCTCCTCCCCGCAACCCGCCACCCCGGCAGATGCTGGCGGAGGAGAAGGCGGTGTCGTCGCGCTACGCGGACGAGCGCGACCGAGCGGAGGCGGAGGCTCGCGAGCGGGAGACCCGGGCGCTGTCGCTCGCCCGGGAGCTCGACGAGGCGTCGTCCGCCCGCGACGACCTCGAGAAGGCCAACCGCTCCCTGCGCGCCGAGATGGACGACCTCGTCAGCTCCAAGGACGACGTCGGCAAGAGCGTGAGAGTCGCCCGCCCGCCCGCCGGCCCGCTCAATGGGCCGCGCGCGCTTGAGTCACCCGCGCCAATGCCCCGCCTGCTGATCTATCTGCTCCTCCAACTCTCCCGTTTGGCCGTTGTTCTGCTCATTGCTCGTCCACCCAATTGTGTCCATTGTTCTGCTCATTGCTCGTCCACCTATTGTGTCCATTGTTCTGCTCATTGCTCGTCCACCCGTTGTGTCCATTGTTCTGCCCACTCGTCCACCCATTGTCCATTGTTCTGCCCACTCACCCACCCGTTGTCCATCGTTCTGCCCACTCGCCCTCCTGTTAGTCCAAGGTTAAGGTGGTAGGGCGGTGGCAAAATATAGTTGTCCTCCCTCTAGTTAGTTTAACCAGGTGGGGGCTCACGAGAAAGGGGTGGGGGGTGAGGCAGTGGTTACCAAACTCAGAACGAGAAAGAGACCGAAGATGCAGAGAGGAGGGTGAAGTGGTGGCTGTGACGGTGGTGATGGTGGCTGTGACGGTGGTGATGGTGGCTGTGGTGGTGGTGGTGATGGTGGTGGTGGTGGCTGTGGTGGTGTCGGTGATGGTGGCGGTGGTGGTGGTGGTGGTGGCGGTGGCGGTGGCCGCGTTGGTAGCGGCGTTCGCTCACCGGGCGTGCGACGGTCGCCTTCTGCCGCGCCGGACGGGGCTCAGGTGCACGAGCTGGAGAAGTCGAAGCGGGCGCTGGAGCAGCAGGTGGGCGAGATGAAGACGCAGCTGGAGGAGCTGGAGGACGAGCTGCAGGCCACGGAGGATGCCAAGCTGCGGCTGGAGGTGACGCTGCAGGCGCTGCGGGCGCAGTTCGACCGCGACCTGCAGCAACGCGACGAGAGCAACGAGGAGAAGGCGCGGACGCTGGCCAAGCAGGTGAGGGTCGGCGCTCGACCGATCGTACACTCACCCACGAACTCGCTCGCTCGCTCGCTCGCTCACCCGCTCGTGAACTCACTCACGAGTTCACTCACGAACTCACTCACGAACTCACTCGTGCACTCACATACTCACACACTCACATACTCACACACTCACATATTCGACCACTCCCTTGCTCACAAACTCACGCACTCAATCATGAACTCGCACACTCACTCGCTCAATGATGAACTCGCTCACTCGCTCGCGCACATACTCACACACTCCCTCGCTCACATACTCACACACTCACTCACTCAATGATGAACTCGCTCACTCACTCGCTAACATACTCACGCACTCACTTGCTCACATACTCGCTCACTCACCCGCTCACATACTCGCACACACTCACTCAATGATGAACTCTCTCACTCACTCGCTCACATACTCGCTCACTCCCTCGCTCACATACTCGCACACTCACTCACTCAATGATGAACTCGCTCACTCACTCGCTCACGTACTTGCTTACTCCCTCGCTCACATACTCACACACTCGCTCACTCAATGATGAACTCGCTCACTCACTCGCTCACATACTCGCTCACTCCCTCGCTCACATATTCACACACTCGCTCGCTCAATGACGAACTCGCTCACTCACTCGCTCACATACTCGCTCACTCCCTCGCTCACATACTCACACACTCACTCACTCAATGACGAACTCACTCACTCGCTCACATACTCACTCACTCCCTCGCTCACATACTCACACACTCGCTCGCTCAATGACGAACTCGCTCACTCACTCGCTCACATATTCGCTCACTCCCTCGCTCACATACTCACACACTCACTCACTCAATAACGAACTCGCTCACTCACCCGCTCACATACTCGCTCACTCACTCGCTCACATACTCACACACTCACTCGCTCAATGATGAACTCGCTCACTCACTCGCTCACTCCCTCGCTCACATACTCACACACTCACTCGCTCAATGATGAACTCGCTCACTCCCTCGCTCACATACTCACACACTCACTCGCTCAATGATGAACTCGCTCACTCACTCGCTCACATACTCGCTCACTCCCTCGCTCACATACTCACACACTCACTCACTCAATGATGAACTCACTCACTCACTCAATGATGAACTCGCTCACTCCCTCGCTCACATACTCACACACTCACTCACTCAATGATGAACTCACTCACTCACTCAATGATGAACTTGCTCACTCCCTCGCTCACATACTCACACACTCACTCACTCAATGATGAACTCGCTCACTCCCTCGCTCACATACTCACACACTCACTCACTCAATGATGAACTCACTCACTCACTCAATGATGAACTCGCTCACTCCCTCGCTCACATACTCACACACTCACTCACTCAATGATGAACTCACTCACTCACTCAATGATGAACTCGCTCACTCCCTCGCTCACATACTCACACACTCACTCACTCAATGATGAACTCGCTCACTCACTCGCTCACTCACTCGCTCACTCACTCGTGCATCTCGCGCGGTCAAAACGGGGGAGGGAGGAGAAAATGCCTTGGCCACGACCGCTGACAGCAGTGCCACGGGGAGCAAACCGATTCTGGAATTGTATCGCGCCACCATCGGCGCCGCGTCTTCACGCGCCGAAGAGCCCGTTCGACGATCTCGCGCGGCGGCCGCGGCCGACTTCGCGTCTGAAAAACGGCCCGCGGAAGTGGACATCACGGAGCTACACCTGGGACGCCGTCTCCGTATTGTCCTTCTTCGGTTGGCCTCCGGGATCCCCGCAGTGGAAGGGAGGCCACTGCGCTTCCCCACGCACTCCGTTATCTGAGATGAGCGTTCATCGCACGAGGGTCGGAGACATATTTTTAATCGTCAGGGCTGGAAATCAGCCAAATCGCTTTGCAGAACCAAATTTGATGCGATGGACTTTTCGTGCCGTCGTTGGTGACCGGGCTGAGACCATCAACTCTCCACACTTGGAAACCCGGTTTGATCATAGACCAGTCCATGAGAATGGGTTTTCGCCTTTTTTCTGGCAACAAAACGGGTATGTTAAGATGTTAAAACACCAAACTGCAACCTTTTTTTATAAGGAATCACGTTCTGCATTAACCACAATGCTTGTGGTCAGAATGCAAACAAAAAAACACACTCTGATAATAAATGATGATGCATTGTCCTTGAAACTGATTGGTCCACACCAGAGACAGCTTTCTTTTGAACCTCGTCTCACACGGTGCTAGACCAGAGGACGCCGAAAGGCCTTTTGGGTCTAGTGCAGACATGATTCCTTGTAAAAGGTTTCAGTTTGGTGCCAGAAAAAAGGGGAAAGCCTATTCTCATATTTTTATGCTGGCAAAGGAGGTCACATGATGTAGATCATTCCATGTGAGTCGAATGGGTCTCTGTCTAAGGGTGTATATGTGAGTCTACCGGTCTCTATGCGAGTTTACGGGTCTCTATGTGAGTCTATGGGTCTCTATGTGAGTCTATACATCTCTATGTGAGTCTATGGGTCTCTGTGTGAGTCTATACATCTCTGTGTGAGTCTACGTGTCTCTGTATGTGAGTACGGGTCTCCACGTGAGTCTGCGTGCCTCTGTATGTGAGTCTATGGGTCTCTATGTGAGTCTATGGATCTGTGTGTGAGTGAGTCTATGGGTCTCTATGTGAGTCTATACATCTATATGTGAGTCTATGGGTCTCTATGTGAGTCTATACATCTCTGTGTGAGTCTGCGTGTCTCTGTATGTGAGTACGGGTCTCCACGTGAGTCTGTGTGCCTCTGTATGTGAGTCTATGGGTCTCTGTGTGAGTCTATGGGTCTCTGTGTGAGTCTATGGGTCTCTATGTGAGTCTATGAATCTCTGTGTGAGTCTATACATCTCTGTGTGAGTCTATGGGTCTCTATGTGAGTCTATACATCTCTATGTGAGTCTATGGGTCTCTATGTGAGTCCATGGGTCTGTGTGCGAGTCCACGCATCTCGGTAGACTCTACGTGAGTCTATACATCTCTGTGTGAGCCTGCGTGCCTCTGCATGCGAGTCTATGGGTCTCTATGTGAGTCTATGGGTCTCCACGTGAGTCGATGGGTCTCCGTGTGAGCGAACCCAGCGACGCACCGCACTTGAGGAACCCCTGACCTCCGTGGCCGCGTGCCCCGCTCTCCCGCAAGGTGCGCGAGCTCGAGTCGGAGCTGGAGGACGAGCGCAAGCAGCGGGCGGCGGCAGGCGGGGCGAGGAAGAAGCTGGAGGGAGACCTCGTGGACATGGAGGGGCAGCTCGACGCCTCCAACAAGGCCCGCGAGGAGGCCGTGAAGCAGCTGCGCAGGCTGCAGGTAGAGGAGCTGCGGCCGCTGCTGCTGCGGCGGGCGGGGGCGACGCGATCTGTTCGCGGTGGCCAACGGCAAATGCGGAGAGCGTTTGGAGGACGCCTTCGCTCGGACGCAAGCGCACTCCGAGCCTCGCTTCGCTCCGTCTCTACGCCTCTCACTCCACGCTCTCTCACACCCCTCCCTCCCCTCGCTCAGCTCCCTCCATCTCTACCCATCTAAAGCTCTCTCCCACCCCTCCCTCCGTCTCATTCCTCCCTCCCTCCCTCCTACCCCTCCCTCCTGCCATCCCTCAATCTCGTTCCTTCCATCTTCTCCCCCACCTCCCTCCCTATACTCCCTCCCTCCATCTCATTCCTCCCTCTCTCCCTCCCTCCCTCCTTCCCTCCCTCACTCCCTCCTTCCCTCCCTCAATCTCGTTCCTTCCCTCTTCTCCCTCCCGTTCCCCGCTCCCTCCCTCCTTCCCTGAATCTCCTCCCCTCCCCTCCTCCCTTACCCTCTCCCCCCACGCCTCCCCTCCACCCCCACCGAGCAGGCTCAGCTGAAGGATGTGCAGCGGGAGGCGGAGGAGGCGAACAGCTCGCGCGAGGAGGTGGCCGCACAGGCGCGCGAGAAGGAGAAGAAGATGAAGAACCTGGAGACGCAGCTGCTGCACCTGCAGGAGGTGCCCGCACCAGCACAAGGCCGCGGGGACAGTCCCGGTGTGGCCGGGGGCAGTCCCGGTGTGGCCGGAGCAGTCCCGGTGTGGCCGGAGCAGTCCCGGTGTGGCCGGAGCAGTCCCGGTGTGGCACTGACACTCCCTGGGTGTGGCCGGTGACACTCCCTGGGTGTGGCCGGTAAACACTCCCTGGGTGTGGCCGGTAACACTCCCTGGGTGTGGCCGGTAACACTCCCTGGGTGTGGCCGGTGACACTCCCTGGGTGTGGCCGGTAAACACTCCCTGGGTGTGGCCGGTAACACTCCCTGGGTGTGGCCGGTGACACTCCCTGGGTGTGGCCGGTAACACTCCCTGGGTGTGGCCGGTAACACTCCCTGGGTGTGGCCGGTAAACACTCCCTGGGTGTGGCCGGTAAACACTCCCTGGGTGTGGCCGGTAACACTCCCTGGGTGTGGCCGGTAACACTCCCTGGGTGTGGCCGGTAACACTCCCTGGGTGTGGCCGGTAACACTCCCTGGGTGTGGCCGGTAAACACTCCCTGGGTGTGGCCGGTAAACACTCCCTGGGTGTGGCCGGTAACACTCCCTTGGTGTGGCCGGTGACACTCCCTGGGTGTGGCCGGTAAACACTCCCTGGGTGTGGCCGGTAAACACTCCCTGGGTGTGGCCGGTAACACTCCCTTGGTGTGGCCGGTGACACTCCCTGGGTGTGGCCGGTAAACACTCCCTGGGTGTGGCCGGTAAACACTCCCTGGGTGTGGCCGGTATCACTCCCTGGGTGTGGCCGGTAAACACTCCCTTGGTGTGGCCGGTAACACTCCCTGGGTGTGGCCGGTAAACACTCCCTGGGTGTGGCCGGTAACACTCCCTGGGTGTGGCCGGTAAACACTCCCTGGGTGTGGCCGGTAAACACTCCCTTGGTGTGGCCGGTGACACTCCCTGGGTGTGGCCGGTAAACACTCCCTGGGTGTGGCCGTTAACACTCCCTGGGTGTGGCCGGTAACACTCCCTGGGTGTGGCCGGTAACACTCCCTGGGTGTGGCCGGTAACACTCCCTTGGTGTGGCCGATAACACTCCCTGGGTGTGGCCGGTAACACTCCCTGGGTGTGGCCGGTAACACTCCCTGGGTGTGGCCGGTGACACTCCCTGGGTGTGGCCGGTAAACACTCCCTGGGTGTGGCCGCTAAACACTCCCTGGGTGTGGCCGGTAAACACTCCCTGGGTGTGGCCGCTAAACACTCCCTGGGTGTGGCCGGTAAACACTCCCTGGGTGTGGCCGGTAAACACTCCCTGGGTGTGGCCGGTAAACACTCCCTGGGTGTGGCCGGTAAACACTCCCTGGGTGTCGGCCATCGCAGTGTCAGCGTGGCCGGAGCGGTCCCACCCGTTGGCTTTAGAGAGGGGGTGGGGGTTTGCCCCACCCTTCCCCCGCACCTCTTTTTTCCACCGGCACATCCGAGCCGTGCCCGGTGGGGGACCCGTGCCGGGGCCAGCCGTGGCGCGGCTCAGCAGCGCCCCATCGGAAGGTTTCCTTTCCACCGCCGAAGCTGAGCCGCGCCTCCCACACGAGACGGCTTCCAACGAGCCGAGACTCCGCGTCCTCACCGCGTGCCAGCCAGTTTCACGCTCGCGCGGGCGGGCGGGCGGGCGCGTCGCTAGCCCCGCTCCTCCTGGCCCTGCTTGGCCACGACGCAGATTCACAAGTCCCCTCGTGAGGCCGGCGGCGTTGTCAAGGCGCCGGCTCGGCAAACGGCCTCGGGCTGGCACGGGTGCGGCGGTGGGAAGAGGGTTGCCGGGTCAAGGGCCCCACCGCCCCGCTCGCCCATCGTCCACGACTCGTGCTCTTGTTGTCGTCGTTGTCGTCGTTGTTGCCGTGATTGTCGTCGTCATCGTCGTCGTTTAACATCGGCAGGAGTTGGCGGCGGCTGAGCGGGCGCGCCGCACCGTGGAGCAGGAGAGAGACGATCTGGCCGAGGAGATCGCGGGAAACACGAGCGGCAAGTGAGTGTGACACCACGGCCTGCCGACCTGCGCCAGGCCACACCTCCCTCCCCCCACCACCACCACCACCACCACCTCCCCTCTCCTCCACCTCCCCCCCGCACCGCCACGCCCGAGGCCGGGGCCCTCTTCCCGCCTCGCGCTCCAGACGCTCGCTCGCCAACAGCCGCGGTGTTTGTCTCCCGGCACGGCACGGCGGCAGGTCGGCCATGATGGACGACAAGCGGCGCCTGGAGGCGAGGATCTCGCAGCTGGAGGAGGAGCTGGAGGAGGAGCAGGGCGTGACGGAGCTCTCCAACGAGCGGCTACGCAAGGCTGTCGCGCAGGTGCGGACGGGGGGGGAGAAGGCAAGGGGGGATATAGGGGGGGGGGGGAGCGGGGGCGGGGAGGAGACGCCGATGATTTAGCGACAACACCGACGCCCCCCCCCCCCGCGCGCCGAGGACGACCGAGAATCGACGGCGGCGTCCTTCTCACCGCCCCCCCCCCCCCGCCCCCCCCCAACTCACCACCGCCCCGGCCCTCTCCAGGCAGAGCAGCTGAGCTCGGAGCTGACCGGCGAGCGTGGGCAGTCGCAGCGGGCCGAGAGCGCTCGCCAGCAGCTCGAGCGCCAGAACAAGGAGCTGCAGGTGAAGCTGCAGGAAATGGAGGCGGCCTTCCGCTCCAAGGCCAAGTCGTCGCAGGCCGCGCTCGAGGCCAAGATTGGCCAGCTGGAGGAGCAGCTCGACGTGGAGACCAAGTATGTCTGTCCGGCGGCCACCGCCACACCGGCGCCGCCGGACAGAGCCGACGGGCGGCGGCGCTGGAATCGCGATGGATATCGGAACACCGCACCACCACTCCGAACCCACCCCCCCTCTCCACTCCCCCTGGCGGAAAGCGGGATAGCCAGTTGTGCTAATCGGAGGCGCGGGGGAAGGACAACAAACTGTGGGTTTCTGTAGTGAGTCTGTGGGTCTCTGTAGTGAGTCTGTGGGATCTCTGTAGTGAGTCTGTGGGTCTCTGTAGTGAGTCTGTGGGTCTCTGTAGTGAGTCTGGGTCTCTGTAGTGAGTCTGTGGGTCTCTGTAGTGAGTCTATGGGTCTCTGTGTGAGTTTATGGGTCTCTGTAGTGAGTCTATAGGTCTCTGTGTGAGTTTATGGGTCTCTGTAGTGAGTCTATGGGTCTCTGTGTAAGTCTATGGGTCTCTGTGTGAGTCTATGGGTCTCTGTAGTGAGTCTATGGGTATCTGTGTAAGTCTATGGGTCTCTGTGTGAGTCTGTGGGTCTCTGTGTGAGTTTATGGGTCTCTGTGCGAGTCTATGGGTCTCTCTGTGAATCTATAGGTCTCTGTAGTGAGTCTATGAGTCTCTGTGTGAGTCTATGAGTCTCTGTGTGTGTATATGGGTCTCTGTGTGAGTCTATGGGTCTCTCTGTGAATCTATAGGTCTCTGTACGAGTTTATGGGTCTCTGTGTGAGTCTATGGGTCTCTGTGTGAGTCTATGGGTCTCTGTGTGTCTATGGGTCTCTGTGTGAGTCTATAGGTCTCTGTGTGAGTCTATGAGTCTCTGTACGAGTTTATGGGTCTCTGTGTGAGTCTATGGGTCTCTGTGTGAGTCTATGGGTCTATGTGTGAGTCTATGGGTCTCTGTGTGAGTCTATGGGTCTCTGTGTGAGTCTATGTGTCTCTGTGTGAGTCTATGTATGTGTTTACCCTGGCAGTACGGTAACTCGCGTGGGAGGCCCGCTAGGAGGTTACCCTGGCAGTACGGTAACTTGCGTGGGGGTCGAGCCACCAGCAGCTGACCGTGCTCGCAGGGTAACTCAGGAGTGCCCCGTCGTCCGTGCGCCTGCAGGGAGAGAGCCAACGCCAACAAGAAGCTGCGAAGCTCGGACAAGCGGCTCAAGGACGTCCTGGGCCAGATGGAGGACGAGCGACGCCAAGCGGAGCAGCATAAAGATCAGGTACGAACACACACACACACAGACAAAGACAAAGAGCCCCCGTATAGCCTGGACAGACTGTTGGGGCAAGTGCTGTTAGCGAGCGGCAGCTGTGAAGGTCGGCACGGCACACGAGGGGTTGGGTGGCCAGCAAACCACGCCCGGCCGCCTTTGTCTCCCCAGTGGCGATGTTGGCTACACACCGCCCCAGGTACTCATTTGATGCTGAGTCGACCTCGGGCTCAGATAATCGTCACCGGTGTTGGCTGTGAGCGGGAATTGAACTCGGCTCTCCAGGTTCGTAGCGCAGTGAACGAACTGCAACACTACCGCTCCCCCAGTGCGTGAGTGAGTGTGTGGGTGAGCGAGTGTGTGAGTGTGTGAGCGAGTGTGAGAGTGAGTGGGTGAGTGAGTGTGTGAGTGAGCGAGTGTGTGTGTGAGCGAGTGTGTGAGTGTGTGAGCGAGTGTGAGAGTGAGTGGGTGAGTGAGTGTGTGAGTGAGCGAGTGTGAGAGTGAGTGGGTGAGTGAGCTGTTGAGTGAGTGTGTGAGTGAGTGGGTGAGTGTGTGAGCGAGTGTGAGAGTGAGTGAGCGGGTGAGTGTGTGAATGTGTGAGTGAGCTGGTGAGTGAGCTGGTGAGTGAGTGTGTGAGTAAGTGGCTGAGTGTGTGAGCGAGTGTGAGAGTGAGTGAGCGGGTGAGTGTGTGAGCGTGTGTGAGAGTGAGTGAGCGGGTGAGTGTGTGAATGTGTGAATGAGCTGGTGAGTGAGCTGGTGAGTGAG